CCAGAAGCGCGAGCCCCAGCGTAGCAAGGGTCGCATCATCGGCAACGTTCTTGAGGGTGTTGGCGGTGTTATTGGCGGTGCTATCGATCTGGGCACCATCGGCGGAGCCATTCAAGGCCAGAACCAGAAGCGCGACCCTCAGCGCAGCCGCGGCCACAACATTGGCAAGGTCATCGGCGGATTTGGTGATGGTCTCGGTGCCTTCGCTGATATCATTCAGATCGGTGGATCTGTCCAGGGCCAGGAGCAACCACAAGCCTAAGTACACGGCTACTAGTGGTGGTGAAGCTGGACCCAGAACGGGGCAGAGCCAATCGTGTCGGGTATGTCGCTGAGCGCATCTTCTTAACCATAGATTGTTACCTGTTTGTTTTATGCTCTAGATTGAAATTTTAGCAATGCAATTGATTTTACATATATGTGCTTGACAAGTTTGCTATTGTGATGGTCATTAGTGTTCATCGTTGAGTTGCAGGTAGCTGAGGGAAGATGAAGTGGCTCCTGACTTCATTTGGCATGTTTGGAAGCCAATACATCGGCTTTGGTCTAGAATTTCATGCCGTAGTAAGAGCATTCGTGGTAATGGTGTAGATTAGATAGTTGAAGAACGTCAGTGATGTTCCAAACCCTTGCGAAAATCATCCCCTTATCCCCTTTACTCTCTTGGCAGCCACGTGACCAGCCATGCCTATCCCAGATTTCCTTCCCCTTGCTTTTTTGTTGGACCCAATCGGGTAGGTTGATACGCAATAATCATGTGACTTCTATGCTCCATTATCAACATATTTGGGCGGAATGCTTAGTATAGTTTCTGGATCCCCCGTGACTCGTTGTTTGTATTGTTTTTTCTTAAAATTGTTTTAACATATTTCCATTTCATTTACTCACGTTTTATTCCCTCAAAACTCCATAACTCAACGAATACCCAGCCGGCAAAAACACTAAGAAAGATCAATTCGGTACATGGATTTATTTGAGATAAGAAAGAGAGCTTCTTGGGATTTCATCTAATTCACGTTCCTGCAATCTTGCTCGGAACATGCTCATCATAATACAAAGTCTCCCCACTCTTACCACCTTCAAACAATCCAAGCGCCAACTTCGCAACAGCATCCCCACAAAGCTCAGGAGGCTCCACCATCTCATCTCCCATATCGTCCCAAATCCTGAACCTCTCAATCTCATGATCCGCCATTACGCCTCTGTACTTGCCTTCGACAAGCCCATCAATCATCTTCGTCCGCGTCAACTTTGGATATACACCCTGAACGCTGAGCAGAGGCTCTTCGTGCGCAAGACACGAAATGAAGCGTGTGAGTGCAGCTTTGGTGGTGCTGTAGGGCATCCAGCCGTGATACGACACTGTACTGTCGCAGGCTGAAGAAAGGATAATAACTCTGCCACGCCCATAATTATGTGGGTGGGATGCCTTTGATGCACGAAGATGTGGGAGGACAAGTTGAACCTGTCCACTCTTTTTAGCAAATGCAGTTGCTGAAAGTGATTTACGGAACAGGGCAGGACCAGGGTGAGACATACCATACTCATAGCCCCAAAAACATTAACATCAAAACTCCGCTTCGCAGCCTCAATATCCAGCTTTTCCAGCCGTTGAATTGGCGTAATGATGCCCGCACAGTAGACTAATGTGTCGAGGCCACCAAACACATTGAAGCATGTTCGCACCGCCAACTCACGGTCCTCAGCCACCGTCACATCGCCTTCGACAATGCGTAGCCGCTCTCGTTGCTGCTTGGTAAACTCGAGTTTTATGCTCGAGTCGATGAGGCCGAATGCTATTACTTTGGTGTTGAGCGGGAGATATGGGCCCGAAAGTATGGTTTGCGTTATTGCATACCCGATTCCGGAGGTTCCGCCGACGACCAGAACGACTTGGGGTTTGGACGACATGGTTTAAATGCGCGGAACGTGAAAGAGATATAAAGATGGTATTATGTATGTTTCTGTTCGGGCTGAAAAAAGATACAAATGGATTGAACATAAGCGTTCCAATGACGTGATGGCTTGCGAAGATTCGGAGCTTGTGCGTATCGAGATGCCTGGAAGTGGAGGTGTGCCCCGCGCTAGGTGCGAAATAGGTAAAATTCAGAGGGATAGCACCACCGCGGATAGCATGTTGAAACTTCTAGCAAGTCTTGCATTATGTACGATCTAAAAAACACTATAAATCTATAGGTTTGCCCTTGCAACTGACCCCGAGGCACCCGCAATTCCCTCCTCGATGGCCTTGATCTGCAATGCCAAGATCCTGCTGTAGTAACGAGACAGAGCAAGATTGCCGCCCATGAACCACAAACCAGGGTGCCCACTCTTCTGCCACATGGTACGGAACTCACCCTCTTCATTGAAGCCCCAAACATCATTCACATGGTCCGCGACTTCGTCACCGAAAATCTTTCGTGCCTGTGTACGCATGTTCTGGTACCCGGTTGCGAACACGATCTCGTCAGCTTCCAACTTGTCGCCATCGGCAAACTCAATGCCGTTAGGTAGGATTTGAGAAATCTCCTGGCCCTGCTTGATCTTGATCTTGCCATCGATGATCAGTTGAGATGCACCGACATCGATGTAATAGCCCCCACCACGCTGGAAATACTTCATCAGCAAACCGGAGTCCATTGGTCCTTTATCCAGGCCGAAGCCGGCCTTACGAAGACCGTCGAGAATCTCCTTGTCGGCCTGAGCTGAGGCTGCAGTGACCTTCGTTTGTATCAATTTCAGTAACGCGCTTGGCACACTCCAAAAAGTAAGGTCAGCATCATCGACAGGTGGCGAGTCTTGGTCGTAGAGACCCTTGTTTGCGATATCAGTTATAGAGGTGGAGGTGACCACGCATGTTGTACTACGCTGAACCATAGTCACATCGTAACCCTTTTCGAAGAAGTCTTGTGCGATGTCATGACCAGAGTTGCAGCTTCCTACAACTATCGCCTTCTTGCCCTTTGACTCTGGATTCGCGCCTGGGTGCTCAGAGCTGTGACATAGGCGGTCACCTTTGAAGCTCTCCATGCCCTTGATCTTGGGAAAGTTCTTCTCGCCCGAGTGACCAGTCGCCTGCACAATATGTCGTGGGTGCAGTGTCCGCGTTTCAGTGCTTCCGTCCGATTTTCGGCGCTCGACCGTCACCGTCCACTGCTTCTTACCCTCATCCCACGAGGTCGACTTGATAGATGTGGAAGTCCAAACGTTGAGCTCAAGAAGGCTTACGTACGCTTCGAAGAATTCGGCAAGCTTGTCTTTGGGTGTGAACACTGGCCAATGCGCAGGGAAAGGCACATATGGTAGGTGGTCATACCATACTGGATCGTGTAGCACGAGCTGCCGATAGCGTTTGCGCCAGTTGTCACCCACTCTTTCATTCTGGTCGATCATCAATGCGGGTACACTGAGCATCTTCAGTCGTGCAGCTACTGTAAGTCCACCCTGACCAGCTCCCAAGATGAGTACTGTAGGATCAATGCCCTCTCTTTCCGCGTCCCGCATCTCCTTCCAGGTCTTCCTGTTAGGGTCACCACCGTGCTTTACACCCTTGGTTCTGCGATGATTGAGAGGCTCTTCGTGGCCCTTGAGCTCCTGCAGCAAAGTGTAGAGTGTAAAAATCTTCCATTGGCCGTTGTCGTCAGCCAGGTTCATTACACCTTCGCCGCGACCGATACTAGTCTCGAATTTCACAAAGAAGTTGACGCCCTTGACTTCACCGAGGAGGTCTATCGCACCAAACTTTGGAGCTCGAAACTCGGAGCTCTTGCTGATTTGGAGTTTTGTCAATTGCACTTTGCTAGAGTCTAGATATGCTTTGATGCCCGAGCTACCCTTTACTGTCCGGAGTTCCCAAGAAAGAGCCAGATGATCTCTCCAGTAGCTATTCTCTTTGCAGAAGAGGTCCGAGACGGCTGCATAGTCATTCTTCGCAATTGCATTGTTGAAGCGGGCAACGACCTCGTCGGCGATCTTGGAAGCATCGACAGACTGGCTGGTTGACGAGGCTGGAAACACACCAAATGGAAGATTGACCGACCCAAACTCAGGGCGCTCGCTCGAGGGGAGGGATGCGTCGCCTACACCCATGACTTCGGTGTGTTTAGTGCGGAGAAGATCGAAACGAATGCTGTAAGATTGATGTAACGAGGATGAGAGAGTTGCGGTGACGAGACAACGCGCAGACTCATGAAGGTTAAAAGTCAGAAGAAGCGTAGTCAGCTGGTAAAGTCAATTCGGTATTCCATCTTGGTACAACCCGTAGACGCGTCTAATTCCTGGGTATACTGTCGAAAGAGGAATAGGCCGTGTGTAAAACTCATGGTCGCCAAACCTTCTTTGGAGGGGATGTGCGGGGGTGGAGGGGCATCGGACAGACTCCGTGGAGACAATAGCTGTCTCACTGCCTTTGGCCCGCCATACTACCCCGCACCGCCCTCCGATCATCGCACACTCCAAGTTGGGACTCTGTCCTGGACCAATCGCTCAAACGGGACGAAGGGGGAAAAGGTACAAAGCCCATGTTCTTCTAGGCGTCGACTTGGAATGTCCCTGAGGCAGTATCCTGTCGATCATCTGCGTAGCATTGAGGATCAAACACCAGGGTTCTGGCTGTCCTTGGTCTCACGTAAGCAAGCCCCTTGCCTATCGCAAAACACCCCCAAACGATCACCACCCCACTTATTACCCAAGCTCAGCCAGATCCCAAGTGTACAGAAAAACTCCATCATTGCCTACTACTGTGTAGCAAGGTTAATTGTATTGTCGGCACGCCATTTCACCGAGATTCCCAATTTCGGAACGCGAACCAATCCGAGATGGCGCTTCGACCATCGCATGATCCAGGCAGGGAGCTATACGACGTTGGACGATAACAAGTACGACCTTGATCGATGTGGCGTATTTTTTTTTTCTCGGTCAGTGCGATGGCGGCACGGTATAGCTAAAGTGGGGTGCACCTAAGTATACTTACCCACCAAAAAGGAGTCATGGACATTACGCATCAGTGCGAGTAGCTTACGGCCGATATTACTACGTGGTGACGAACCTGTCAGTAGAACTACCAAGCTAGGGAAACGTCACGGATTCTCGGGCGAATTTTCAGACAGACCTACGGAACATCGCGGACCTGACTCGTCGACGCAGATCCTTGAATTCAGCTTCAGCTAGTTGTCAGCAAGCCTCACTTGTACAGCAATACGACCACACCCCATGGCTATCTTATTTAATTTGTGAAAGAGTACATATTCAATAAGTTCAGGGAAAAGTGGTTAGTTCTAACGTCGGCCAATGTCCCTAGGCTGATATTCATTGCGCTACGCCGATCCTGGTCGAGTTCGACTGAGAAGCTCACACACTCACGAAATAATATTGAGAAACCAACTTTAAGGTTGTTCGGTACGGCCGGCTGATCTCTCAAATTTCTGAAATCCTATACAGTAAACGAAGAAGATCAGCCTTACATGTCTTGGATCTATAGTCTGGAGCGAAACTTTCTTACAGAAAACGGGAAGTCGATCTATTGCCATAAGAACACTGGCGGAGATAATATGCGTTTAACTTCTCAAAGAAGAGATACGAATAGTAAAGTTTCGAGCCTGTCACTTTATTTCTTGAGATGTTGTCGAAAAAGCATTAGCAGCGTCATTCACTCGTACTTGTCAACGCCACGCCACTATCTGTTCTGAATCAGTGAGAGCATCCAATCACAGAACCTGGGATCTTTAGCAGCAGCATCCAGAACGACCTCAGCAAAAAGTTCAAAGCAGAAAATTGACCTTTCTCTTTCAAAGTCACCATGCGTTTCCTTGTCGTAACATCAAGCCTGCAAAGATACACAATAGCAAAACTAAAATCCAACACGATACATCACAACGCTAAATCCCCCTAGCTCTTACCAAATCAACTCACTCACAAGAATTAAGGTCAGCCACTCAGCCCTACCCTCCCCTTTTACCCCTTACATCCCATCCGCCCATCCCATCCATCCATCCCCCGATCCCTACAATCTCCTCCCCCCGTTCCCCCGGCCCATCCCAAAACACACCTCCCCATTCCCCCGGCGCACCTGCCCGCATTCCTCCCCTTCTACCGCCACCCCGCACCAAACACGCAATCACCCACGCGCGCCGCAGCGGAACCTGCGGAATCGCAAGCTAGGGATCTGGCGGGCCGATGGTAGGGGTGGTGAGAGTTGGCTATCCGTCTCGGGGTCGGGATACGAACGGATATTACACCACCGCATCCAGCAACTAGCAACATGCCTCGGCTCCCGAAAAAAAAGAGGGTTTGGTCCGGGTTGGGGATTTAGGGGGGGGGGGGGATGGGAGGAAGGGGGGAGGAGGACAATGCAGGAAAGAAGGTATGCAAAGAGAAGGGAGAGGGGAGAAGAGGAGTTGATGCGGGGGTAAACGTTTCACAATGTCGGATTACATACTCGATCTCTTCTTCTGATGACGGCGACGAAGATGAGGGGTAAGGTTAGTAAGAGCAATACGCAGACGTACATGTGCAGGGAGACAAGGAGAGAGAAAGACAGGCCTGGGGGGATGCATGCATGCCAAGGAGGAAGAAGCAGATTACGCAAAGAACGGATCATTATAACTCGAGGGAGTTTACGTTACTTCGTATGTAGTCTATCTGTAAACACAAGGTTGCAAAGGACGTTGAGAGAGAGGAAAAAAAAACAGGGTATATGTACAAAAAAATCTCTCAGTCCCCAACGCTCTGTTTCATTTGCCAACATTGAATAGAAATTAGCCAGAAATAAACAGGAAAAGGCGTTTGATGTGATGAACCAAAAAGCTAATCATGATCCGAGGAAAAGAAATGTGTGATGCAGATGATTTTTCTTTTAGTCTAGACAAAACAGAGAAAAAGAAAGAGGGAGCATGCATGGGAAGTTTTTCCATACTATTACTCTTCCGCGCGAGGCCACCACGCTTTATTCCCCACCAGCGCAGTCTCATCGTCACTATCATCAGGCTTCTTGCTATTTGCATCGGTGCTCTTCATGCTCTTCATGCTCTCGTTGCCCTCGGCTATGCTCTCCATGCTCTTGCGGCGCGCAATGACGCGCTCCTCGACCACGACGCCACTACCGGATTTAGTGCGATGATGCAGTGCGCCGCTGCCGCTAGTGATTTCGACTTCGGTGCCGTCTTTCTGAAAGTACGGATTGACTTCGCTGCGGATGATAACTTCGCGCGTCTTCTTGATCTGGTTGCCGACGGGTGCGAAGCTGACGATGCGGTCGCGGTCGCCGGCTTTGGTGTCGGCGTCGCAGCTGACGAAGCTGGAGAGCTCGTGAACTGAGGCGCGCTGCGTGCGGTGGTATGCGCTGCCAGTGTGGTGGCCGGTGGACAGTTCGGACGAGGAGCGGAATTCTTGTGCCATAGAGTGCATGCCGGTCTTGCGCGAGGTGGAGATTGCAATGCGCTTGATGAGGTTGGCCATTGTCATTTCGATGTTGAGTTTGACCATGTAGGCGAGCGGATGGAATTGAATATAGCTGTTGCAATGCGATATTAATACAGTGGCTTCCCTGTTTGAAGCTGAAAGTAGACTTACACAAAGGAGTTGGGGATGGACATGGCGCCGATAATCATGACGTCCATGAGCAGTGAAACAATGACGATTTTCTGGTTGAAGCGCACGAGTGAGTTGTATTTGGTGAGACCGTTCTTGATGAGGTTTTCCTTGACAGTCTTCAAGAAGAACCAGTTGAGTATGGCGTCGACAAGCAGGTAGAGACCCTTTTCGATACGATCCCAGTATTCGTTGGCAATGTGATATCTTTCTTGGCGTTAGCTCGGGATCTTAAGATTCAGAACGAGGAGTCATGGAGCACAAAGACGCATGAGTCGAATAGCAACTTACGTAGAGTTGACCTGTAACCGGGCTGGAATCCAGATGTTAAACACACTGATGTTGATTGCTGTGACGAATGTAGCTGTTGCGATCATGATCCATCGTCCACGGTTGCGATCGGGTACGATGACACGAATACGGTTGATGATGATTTGCAGCAGCAATTGGACCTGAATACACCACCAGAACAGGATGGTGAAGTAAAAGGCGAAACCTGGTCGGATGTCAGCAGAATCTTGAAACTTACAATCAGACGATACATACTTGGACTGATGAACTTGAGCAGATGCAGATAGCATTCGAGTCCCATGACAAAACAGACGGCCATTTCCATCCATATCATCCAAATGTATATACTCCTGAGGGGGGCTCGCGATTCCTTGGTTTGTCTGACAGCCAAGAAAAAGGCGATGATGATGTTGACCAACGTGAGCGCCCATACTGTGGACGCGATGATAATGTCGGATCTTGTGATGGGCTCATTATGGTAGTTTGGTGAGATGAAGGGACCCCAGGCCTTGAACGACGGATTATCCCGGAATTCTTGGTTCATGGTGTGGGGTATCGGGGGTGAAGAGTCGAGAGGACGACTTGAGGACCTGAGAGCTCGCTTGCCAGCAGGATACCAGATATATCCGATTGATGTGTGATAAGAGAAGCTGGCAGGGCAGATGGCAAAGGGTCTGCCAAGTCTCCTCTAGGACTAGGTTCCATCACAGCGGCAACTAGGGGAATGCAGGAGATGAAGCGGCGACTTTGGAAACTATCGAGTCAGTATAAGGTTCCATGCTCTCGTATGCACGCTAAGAGATGGAGCAGCAGCTATCTCGATTGGCCTGGACTGTTACATCTGTGGATTCGATGGAGCCCAACGGTTGATCCTTTCGTTAATCGTGGCGGTCGTCTTGCGACAGCTCCGATGGTTTAAACGTTTTCGGTGAAGTGCCTCGCTCGACCTGCGCTCGGCACGGGTCCCATCCGATTAGCGCCGCCCTGCAACAAACCAAGCTGGGATGGGGGAAGAGGAAGGGCATCCCGTTTGCGGGGGATTTACAAAGTTCGCTGATCATTGAGAATCGCCGTTACAAATGGTCCAGCATGCGTGACACTGGCCGAGGCATGGTGTTCCTGTCTAGGATATGAAGCTTTCGCAATCAAGACGAATCCTAAGCGTGCATTACCATAACCCACAGCGGAGAAGAGACTCAGGGCTGAGTGCTCGGTTATGACACGCGTAGCGGCTCAGTGAGCACAGTCCAAGACGATAGCGCGCTCTGGTACCAGCATCATAGTAGACAAATTTGCAGTGGCTTGTGAAAGAGCTGCTGTTGTCTAGCTGCTAGCGGCCTAGCTGGTAGGTGCGGCGAGATCTCCGCGACCGACGATTAGTCTAACATCCATGCTCTGCGGAAGCCTAAATTTGGTTCGCACAAAACTTGGTTGTGGAAGCTCGATGGAGATGAGCGTGCCTGGCAACAAAATGTTGCCGTTTGGGCAAGTTGCTGTTGGGAGCCACGCGACATAATCGGCCAGAGGCTTTTTGTGGCCCGTACCGGCAAACGGTAGGCGCAGGCTTGAGTCTGGATATAGGGCAGGATACATATGTAGTACCGTACGTACGTAGACATGTGTATGTAAGTCAGTGGCCATGTGGTGTGGGCACATGTGATCGACGGGATGCATGCGCCATCCGAGAATGTGGGTAAAGTGCTGTTGTCACTATCCATCAGTTCGGTTCTACGCGCGGCAAAGAAAGCAGTCAGGGGCTGTAATATGGAGACGTGACCCACCATGGCAGTTTTCTCCAGGCTGGTGAATGGAGTCGAAGCAAATGTACATACTGAACAAGGCGGCTAGCGTAGGCCCAAGGTTGCTAAGGTGCAAGATCGCGCAAATGCGCCCACAGGGAACATGGGTGCGCGTGAAACACGCTTCAGCCCGGCCACGGAGGAGCCGGCTGGCAGCAGCATCGAGCTCGCCCTGGAAGCGTTACTCGACACCATTTCTGTAATGGTATTTTGCTTAGCCAATCAACGTTACTCAGACCCGCAAATCTACAGAATAAGGAGGATTACCCTAAGCATAACCTCCGTCTATAATTCTCCCGAATGCCTTCTAGATCGTAAACACGAGAATGGCTGCGCTAACCGAACCAGTGACGCGTCTTGGCCGGCATAGAGTTCTTTTGTCACCTTGCTGTTTTGTGTCCATAGGGCAGAATATGGACGCAGACATGCTTGCAGTTGGCGGGCATGCATACTTGCGGCACATGCACCAAGGCTGTTTGTAGCAAGTAGGTGGTTTCTGGGGAGCCGGTGACGTGGAACCGAGATGGGGAAGCCCTGTTGCGCATCTCCATATACGGAGAAAAAAAAGCCTGCAGACAAGACAAGACTGGAGACAGGCGTTGGGTGGGGACTGGTCACAGCTCCATGACCAGCCCTGACCACAGCAGATCGTGGACCCGGGGAAAATTCAACCTCTGCTGAGTGCCTTCAGCACTGCGTGAGACCATAACGTACGAGTGCATCACACGTGAAGTTTCCAATAAGGTCTGGGCGAGTCGGTCGACTGCCACTATTCAAGTCGGTCGCTTTCTGTACCCGCCATCACGCTCTAGCCTCATTGAATCGGCCCTTGTACTCATTGAACTTTCCCATGGCTCACTCGGGGCGCTCCGCCTGAACCTTGATTATCATCCGCGAGCCACCTGAGAAATGTGTGGCGTCCCATTGACCAGCATTATCGAAAGATAACTCAACATAGCCAACCACCCACTCTTCTCTGTCCAGGCTAGCAAAAGCTTCGCCCCGCCGATCTGTATATAGTACTCTAGGGTCCTCACATCGATGGCGTTGGACCCCTCAGCTCTAGAATACTCTGGAGAAGAACTGTATGCAGACGCAACATGGCACGATGCATGCTTCTGTCCACGTTCGTCATTAATGTTCACTGAAACCTAAATATTTGGTATTCGGAGATTTACAACATGGGAACCCGGCGCTTCTGCTGCCGGCGTACTAGTCGTAATCCGGTACTCTTTGCCTTGACCAAGCAAGCCAACAACAACGCTGATATCATAATGGCACGCCTGTTTCGATTTCCATTCTTCGCTGAGCTTGAGCTGTGCCTATCTGACTAGACTTGTAAACTCTATCGAGCATCGTGACAGCAGCCATACTGGATAAGTCTAGAAGGCTGCTTCAACAATGTTGAGCTGAGGTCATGTAAACAGCCCAAGACATGTTTCGTGTTCCAAAAGACGAAGTGAAAGAGTCTATTTTGCCATGTCGAAGGAAGCTGAGGTCTCATTTGAACAGAAGGATACCATCCCATGTCTGGGATAGTCGACTTGGACTCTGGCAACAATTTCGGCCATTCGAAAGGATGTTACACATATTCTGGTCGCCGTGTGCTGTCATGGTTTCACCTTCACGGATGGGACATGGGGAAGCTGCCTCAGTGCAAATATTCGAGGGGTATGTATGTGTTTGAATGCGAGACCAACGGGAAAGATGACTGATGCCCAGTAGCTAGTGCGGAATGCGGCGTAATGATATCCCGTTTATTAAAAACGGTATCTCGAGTTTCTCCTGGAGAGAGGAGAGCGTTGAGTAGCTGTGTAGGTTTATATATTATAGAAGTATTGTGTACATGGTGGGAATGCACAGGGAGGTGAGAGCAGTGCGGTGCGGGGGGACAGCCCCACTTGGCGCGAAACGTCATCAGTGGCGGCGAGACCTACCAAGCCACACAGTCCCATGCACGGCATTGGCCCAAGGTCGAGCCTGTCGTCCTGAGCACGCAGCACCGTTGGACATTGACATACAACATACGTGCATACACACCCATACATCTATACACACTCACACATCTGCCTATACGTACCAACAACACCTCGCCCACCTCACACACCGCCCCTCGCAGACTACACAAATATCGCCGCGCCCAACAATGTCGGAAAAGGCCAACACAGAAAAGGTGAGCAGGAAGCGACATGCTGCGACGCCTCTCCCCCACTAATGCAACTGCTGCAGCCTCCAGAGAGCCCAACGACCGCGCGTGAGCTCGACTTTGACGACGATAACGATGCCCCCGCTGCTTCAGCCGCCGAGCATACTGGATCACCGCCTCCTGCCTCCAAGTCGCCCAAGCCTGGCGTGCGCTTCAACGAAGAGGCAACTGAGATCCCTCCCCAGAAGCCCCCCCGGCCCGTCGACCCCCAGGTGCAGGCACAGAATACGCTGATCGAAGCTTTCCCCACCGTCGACAGCAATGTCATCAAGGCCGTGCTAGTCGCCAGTGGAGGCAAAGTTGAGCCCGCCTTCAATGCACTGCTGAGTACGTTGGCCGCCTAGCGATGCTCCCCAAGGGGATGTGTACTGACAAGTCTAGGCATGTCGGATCCCAACTTCAAGGCAGAAGAAGCGCCTCCACCACAGCCACCACGACCCCAGCCCCGCAGTCAGCTCGAGCAGGACGAGATTTTTGCGCGCCAACTCGCTCAGCACTACGAGAGCCAGGGTGGCTCTGGCCCCCAACGGCCACGACAGCAGGGAACCCGCCAGCGGCAGGGCGAGTCTGAGCGCGAGTACAGCTTCTTCGATGGTGAGCCCCTGTATGCACCTCATGCGCCTGCTGTGACGGCTAACGGTACAAATTGCAGACGACCTCCCTGAGATCCGCAAGAACATTGAGCAAGGCTTCAAGGAGACACAGCAGACAGTTACCAAATGGATCAGTAACTTCACAAAGAAGCTCGACGGCGAAATGGAAGAATACGATCGGTACGGTAACCCCCAATACACGGGCCGAACCGCGCCCCCACAACAGCGACAGAACTTTGGCCCCTCGCAGTCCGATCAGATGCACGGTATCCGCAAGTCAGCCGAGCAGCGGAGGTCGGCAGACCACAACCGTTACGACGCTGACAACCGGGTCATTGGCGACGACTTCGCCAAGCTGGAACTGCGGGACAACGACTGTAAGCCACTATGTCTCTACATGACCGGCACCACTAACACATAGCAGTGCCCCAGCGATCCTCGAGTCGCCCTCATGCTAACCCCGATCTCTTCAAACCGACACCTGTCTCACCTCCCCAGAGCGGTCCTGTTGACGAGGTTGACGCTCTCTACCGCAACCCATCACCCAGCAACCCGGGGAGCCAAGGAAAGTCAGGCGGCAAGAAGTGGCAGCCTCTGACATCTGTAGCGCCGAACCCAGAACCAGATGAGCATGATCCCTTTAGTCTTGGCGATAGCGACGACGATGAAAAGGACGCGAAGAAGCAGGACACCAACCCTGCCGATACTGAGAGGCTGAAGAATGCCGCTCAGAGCAGTGGTGAAGCCCCTCCATCAGGAAAGCTCAAGCCTGCAGAGAGAAGTGGCAGCGTGAGCCAAAAAGACGCTACTGCAGAGGCATTGCTCAAAGAGGCCAAATAAGACGAGCACTTATCATCAGGCTGCCATCAGACTGTCAAAACTCAACTTCAGTCACGTCACTGGTAGGCGTGTTTCAATATATCCTATTTTTGACCCGCAAGTAAGGCCAGAGTAAATGCAGATCATTTTGTCCGAATGAAATCTGTCCTGTTTTCCATCTACGTTATTGCCTCTTGTCGTTTACATAGTTCATCCTCTCACCTCTTGTTCCCCAGCCGCCACCATCCTAGTCACGTTCATACCGCCTACCCGTATGGTGTACACGTCCCGTCTCCTGATGGAGCGAACTTGTCTCACCCTCCGCCCCTCGCTCTAAATTTCCTTTGCTAGGCCCATGTTTCGGCATGATTGTCTGAAATGCGCAAGTATGTTGAAAGAGAGCACTAATTGACTTCGTAAAAGTCACGCGCCATGTTCTCAGTACGGCATGCTTACATTATTGTCATAGAATTGCAGAAGATCGAGGCAAAGCAGCACATTTCCCACGTGGGGGTAGATTGATCGTGTGGGGCAGACGGCGGATTGAGACCCACCCACTTTTGACCTGCATTTTGGCAACGGGGATCATCCCGCTACTTGCTGCTTGCATGCATGCAGCGCAGATGCAGGTCCAGGGCCGTCCGGAATATAGGTATTCAGCCTCAGCACCATCTGAGAATCATTTGCGTTCTCACACTTACTGCACTGCATATGCGATTGGTAGGGTTTTACAAACCCTGAGTATTCGTACAACCGTGAACGCAATCAACGCCGTTTGCGCGTTATACTTGACCCATGTCGGCTGTGGGGATGGCGCATCATTACACCACCGGATCCCGGGGACCTGGCTCTCGCTGCCTTCTCTCAGCCATGAGATGATCCAACGGAACATCAGCAGGCGCCAACGTCGCATCTCACATCTTCTATTTTACGCCTCGCAATACGAAGTCCCAGAACCGCCATGCGGCCCCCTACCAGCTGAGGAATGCGTCAGATCTGACCATTGAAAATCTACCCCAGTCAGCTTCAGCCACCTCAGCTCCTACACGTCGGCAGCAAATTTTGTTATCACATGTGGTTCATACCGAGCGTAAGCAGCCCGATTGATCCTTCTAGATACGTCTTGGTTACAGCTTAGCACAATGTTCGAATAAGGACAATGGTTCACCACAACGCTACGACATGGCTGTGGTCCCGTGTCTGCCTTGCGCCCCTGGTATGAAGATGACAGTTCTCCGTAACAGTGTGGCTCGAGAACAGTTCACCTGATAGTGATGGGTTGGCCATTCGGGAAGACAGGTATTGCCTAGGACATTTGGGGAAGAGAGGACTCAAAATTTTCTATATATTTTGTAGTTTCCTGCGTTTCAATCGCATCACAATCATCACAACTCAACAATTCATTATAATCACACCTACCACCACGGTTACAATGGAGCCAACCACAGCAATTCCGCTCCCCCGGATCGATGAACCAGAAGAGTACAATACGAATTACGTACTCTACTGGAATCATGTCGGATTAGAGCTCAATCGTGTAACACATACCGTAGGAGGTCCTCAGACTGGACCACCCATATCTGCCAGAGCTCTAGGCATGTTGCACTTGGCAGTTCACGACGCCTATTTTGCTATCAACCCTTCGGCTGACATCCTGACGTTTCTCACTCCCAATGCTGAGAATGCCGCGTACCGTCTCCCCGACCTCAATGGAGCGGATGATGCTCGTCAAGCCGTAGCTGGAGCTTCTCTCAAGATGCTCTCCTCGTTGTACATGAGGCCTGATATGCCGCCTGCCAACATTTCCGACAATGCTTATGCACAGCTCGGGCTGGTTCTTGACCGATCAGCTGCGGAAGCACCCGGTGGCGTGGACCGGGCTTCAGCCAGTTTCTTGTTTGGTGAAGCCGTGGCAGATGTATTTTTTGCACTCCTCTTCCATGCACCAGGTGCATCGCAGGAAGGCTACCAGCCTACACCCGGCCGCTACAGATTCGATGACGAGCCTACCCACCCTGTCGTCTTGGTCCCAGTAGATCCCAACAATCCTAATGGGCCTAAGAGGCCGTTCCGCCAGTACCACGCACCATTCTACGGCAAGACTGCGAAGCGTTTCGCCACACAGACTGAACACATCCTTGCCGATCCGCCAGGCCTACGTTCTGCTGCGGACGAATCAGCCGAGTATGATGACTCAATCCGTGTCGCCATTGCCATGGGAGGTGCCACTGATCTCAACTCCACCAAACGCACCCCATACCAGACGGTGCAAGGCATGTTCTGGGCGTATGACGGCTCAAACCTCATTGGCACACCGCCTCGCCAATATAACCAGATAGTGCGCCGTATCGCCGTCACTTACAGGAAAGAAGACGACCTTGCAAACAGTGAGGTTAACAACGCGGATTTTGCGCGTCTCTTTGGCCTTGTCAACGTCGCTTGCGCCGACGCAGGCATCTTTTCCTGGAAGGAAAAATGGGAGTTTGAATTCTGGCGCCCACTATCTGGCGTCCGTGATGACGGGCGTCCAGACCACGGAGATCCTTTCTGGCTCACACTCGGCGCGCCTGCTACAAACACAAACGACATCCCATTCAAGCCGCCATTCCCCGCCTACCCATCCGGCCACGCAACCTTTGGCGGCGCCGTGTTCCAAATGGTGCGCAGATACTACAACGGCCGTGTAGGAACATGGAAAGACGACGAGCCAGACAACATTGCTATCGACATGGTAGTATCCGAGGAGCTCAACGGTCTAAGCCGTGACCTCCGCCAACCCTACGATCCCACCGCCCCAATCGAAGACCAGCCCGGTATCGTACGCACCCGCATCGTGCGCCACTTCAACTCAGCCTGGGAGCTCATGTTTGAAAACGCCATTTCGCGCATTTTCCTCGGCGTCCACTGGCGTTTCGATGCCGCTGCTGCCCGCGATATCCTCATCCCCACCACGACAAAGGATGTCTACGCCGTCGATGCTAATGGCGCGACTGTGTTCCAGAACGTCGAGGATATTAGGTACTCGACCAAGGGTACGCGTGAGGGTTGTGAGGGCTTGTTTCCAATTGGAGGTGTGCCGTTGGGCATTGAGATTGCGGATGAGATTTTTATGAGTGGGTTGAGGCCTACACCGCCCGAAGCTCAGCCTGCGCCTCAGGAACCACCGGTTGTGCAGAAGCCGATTGATCAGGAGGTTCTCATGGGAGTAGAGGACGAGGCTCATGTTCCTGCGGTTAACGAAGCCCCGTAGATGATTGGTGAGTATACTGATGGGTGATGGTGCAGTGATGGGAGACGGGGGAATGCGTTCTTTTGTCCAAGGTCTGCTTTAGTTGCTTGCGGATCTCTCAACTGTTAATATCCTTGTCTGATTATTAATTAACACGCTATAGTCTACTACATATATTGTCATCAATTCCATAGAATAGAATACACTCTGCTTAACAATGACTACATTCATATATCATTACTTTTATACCAACCTTACACCCTCATCCTCCGCCACCTTCACCACAACAGCACCAACCCCAGGTCCCTTTGCCCAAACCCGATGCGCCTCGGGTACCTGCTCCAACCCCCACACCTTCCTAACCGGCACCCTAATCTCGCCTCTCACCAGCATCTCCAACAGCGCCTCCAACTCCGGCTTATACGTCTTCTGATCCCTGTTGATATAAAAAACGACGTGCGATACGGACAAAACGGCACTTTGCCCTTGGCCAGCAACTTTGCAATCTGCAAACTATTGCCTCGCGGTTTATCTCCATTCAGCGAATTCAAGTTGCCTCCATAACCCACAAGATGACCTCGGTCGGAAGAAAGGATGCTCCAACTCTCGTCCCAGGAGGCAAATCCCAACGCATCATACACTACATGCGCGCCGCCCATGTCTTTCATGACGCGCATCCAGTCTTTGTCAGTGTAGACGAACGGCGTGGCGCCGGCTTCCCTCACCGCAGCGTGGTTATGCGCAGCAGCAGTACCGTACACACTCGCACCCTGCCTTTTACAAAACGTCAGCAGCGCGTACCCGACACTACCGCTGAGCCCGTGTATAAACACCCTCTTTCCAGGTGTAATCTGCGCACCGCGATAAGCAAGGCCGTACGCTGTACTCCAATCCAGCACTAGCGCGACGGCCTGTTGTAAATCTACTCCTTCGGGCACTTTTACGAGGTATTTTTCGGGCTGGTTGCTGAATGTGGACTGGCCGTCGTAGACACAGAGACATGCTACTAGAGTGCCTTCTGTAAACTTTTTACTACGAGCGCCGTTTTTGTGTACGCGCCCGATGAGCGTGTAGCCCGGGGTTAGAGGGGCTTTTTGTTGGAGAGGGTAGATGCCTTGCCGCATAAGGATGTCGCTGCCGCCCATGCTGGAGTAGAGGATTTTGAGTTGGACTTCGGATGAGGATGGGGGTGGGAGGGTGGTGGTTGTGAGGGTTACGACCGAGGGGTCACCGTGGGTTGGGATGAGGACTTTACGGATTGGGAGGGCCATTTTTAGGTCGGGGGGTTGACGGTGGATGTAGAGAGAGGGAGTAGGTTTTATGGTGGATAAGTATGGCTTGGATATTAAAGTACTAGGAAGAATAGTTTTTGGAGTAACTGAACTCGGATACTGGACGGTTGTTGTTGTGATGAAATGCCATTGTAGACTTCCCTTCACTCTTTCTTTATAGTCTTCAAGTTCATTTCTGGACTGGAGGCCTTAATCATTCCGTGGAGGCGAAGCGTGAGCTGATCTATAGAGAAGGAATCAGCTGCGGGTGGAAGTCCGCAGGTCCTCATGCAACTCAAGAGTCATCTGGATAGCTGTGGCACGCAAATGAGTGCATCTTCTTGGATGGACTTAGTAACCGACTTGTGAAGTCTGATGGGTATTTACCGCTTTGATCGCTAGCGCCTGCTTACCCCTCCTATTGCGCTGGGCTTTGTCAGTTGTCTGAGCCACGCCATGACGCCTCGTGGGGTTCAATATGCGTTTGTCATTGGACAGATTGCGATGCTTACATCGGCCTAAAGGGGTGATTTTTGCTACCCGATATTCATCGCGTGATGGCTGTGGTGTTTCAAGATAGCATGAGATTTCTTCTGGTAAGTTTTGCGTTCTGCACCCGTCCCGATTGTCGGCTTTGATCTAGAGAGTGAGCTATTTTCCAGTAGGGCGGTGCCCTTATCTCTTCTTCTGATTAGCCCAAACTTCGTCTCGACGATCCAGTACGATGACTAGATTGATGATCTACATCGTGTCAGCTGCTCATCAAGCATCAATGTCAAGACGGGTATCGGTATCAAGAGGCGCCACGACACTCTTCTTCACCATGCCAAGACATGAACCTTTGTGATAGATGTGGCAGCGAGTTGCTTCTCAACAGGCTTACAGGGCCAATCAGTCAACGGGCAGAGTCTCAGATCCTTTTCCACTATGGGCGCGAAGAACTGCTTCTATCTGACTGGCCAATGCATGTCGCGATTGAGTTTAGAAAGCTCTTTCCTGAAACCCACATGGTGTGACTGCTTGGTAGGCAAAATGAAGGAACCTCAATGGCGCTCTCCATGAGTCCCGAACATTAGATCGACAGTGTTGGTTAGAATTTTCGTGCATCGCCGTTTTATGCAGGGACCAGGTGGGTCTGGCATGGTGGGGAAGGGTAGTGACAAGGTCGAATACAGCCCAAACTTTCCTCACACATCTGTACCATAAGGTGACGCGCCACGCGCAATGAGGAACTTGAGAGCTCATCTAGCATTGTACTCTGAATCAGTCAAAGAGAAAAGACATCGTTGCTGGATGGTTAACTTATCATGAAGTTGAAGCATACAGGACTTTCATGTTGCTGGCCCTACGGCCAAACCTCGCAGGTGCAGACCAATGGCCTCGATCTGTTTGAGAAAAGCAGAAAAGGCTTCGCCACTGATCGGTTAGGGTTGATACGAGAAGGGGAGCATTTGAGCAATTATGCGCCAACGACAGTAAATGTCTCGAACAGGGTCCGCAAATCCCCGCATCATCAACGGTCTGGACATTGTTGCAAAACCCAACGTTGTTGAAGGATGCTGAATGACGTCTACCTTGCCCTTTGCGCCTGTTATTTTTACCTGGGACCCTTATCTTTTGCAACTCGACACGGTTGAGATACTCAAAGTTGCTTAGCCCGCCATGACAGGGAGGAATGCAGCCCGGCCTTTTACCGGATCCTCAGTGATATGATGTCATTGGGCAAGGCATTGCAACACCAGGCGCAATGAGTTGTGTATAACCCACAGAGGCAGAATCAGTGGGTTTGTTGTCTCAAAGATAAGAAGGGTGCAAACTCACTCTTTGCTGTTGTCACGACCGACGCGCGTACCTAGTACAGTTGTCGCGCTACGCAAGACAAGGCATCCTAGGACAGTTTTGACAGCGACCCCTATTGCCATCTCCACACTGGGCAAAAGTCTAAATTTGGGATGCATAAGCCGAGTGCTGGCGCTTCGACGTTCTAGGAAGACTGGCGTCTATCAACTCAGCCAAATGTTGGCCCTATGCCACGTCGATGAAGGCACGTGACCAGCTTCATCCTTGCTCGTATCGCTTCACCGCCCGGCGATAAACAGGGCACCAGGGCATAATAGGAGTGTTGGCGAACGATCAGCTTAAGAGTCACAACTGGCACGTTCTACACTTCAAATATCCCGGGGTTGCAGCCATTTACTGGTTGTTTACACACATACAATCACACCCTTCACACATTACATTTTCCTAACTCACTAGTCTACTTAAATACCGACCACTCCGCTGCAGACCAACGCCATTGGTCCCTGCAGATTCCACCTTGCTTGGCGACAGCGAAGGGCACCGGATACCGGCATTACGTCATCGGCGACAGTTGAACACGCCAGACCCAGAAAAACCCACAGCAATGTGTTACCACAACTACAGCCAGCATAATGGCTGCGGGCACATTGGAGAGTCACATGAGCACCCGTGGACACTGTGTGACCGGGCCATCCAACGGCTGAACAACCTCCGCGGGCCGGGCTCTCCACCAGTCTCCCCACCAGCCACAGCGCCGCCCAAGCGCACTTCGTCAACACGACGTTTCTTTTCGTTGAGCGGCCAGCTCTCGCGGTCGAATACCAGCGCGTCGACGAGCTCCCGGCGGTCGGGTGCATCTGCGCCAAGGACGTCGGTGTCCAGCTCCGGCTCGTATACCTATACCGTTGAGCTAGACTACTCCACCCTGCCCGACCACCAACTCGCAGCTGTAAGATGCGCCGACCCAACACGCCGCACCTATGTCAGCAGAGGCATGGTCGTCTGCAAGGAGTGCGCCCGCTGGATCGAGGCCATGCGCAGCATGATTCAGTTTTACGACAAAAAGGGCAGTGTCCGGGGGACGGCTGCGTTTGAAAAGTTCCTCAAGTGGGAGGGCGAGGGCGGCGGCGAGCGAGAAGGCGATCTCACCGTCCCGCTCGACGACGGCGACGACGGAGCTGTCTACGGCGCCAGACAGGCCATTATTCTGGGGCACCCCGAGAGTGCCATGAACGCCGAGGGGCCAAGGGGTCTAGGCACGCTGGAACGAGAGATGGAAAGTCGATATCGATATTGAGAGAGTCTTCCGCACTAGGTTGCAACTTGCAAGAATTTTTGCGCGAGTAGTGTATGACTGAAGCATGTTGGCATCATGTAATTCAGTCGTGAGCTCTTTCTTTTTTGGGTGCGGTTATATGTAACTAGGTAGACAATCCTTACATCACACTCCGCATGACTGGTCCGGAAGGCTGGGCCCGTTCCTCGCGCTAATGATGAATGCAAGGATTCGAATGCAAGCACAGGTTGGTCGGACAAGAAAGACGTCGCATATGATGCACCAATGATTGATTCTTGACCTGCAAGCAATCTGTTCGTCAAACCTTATGTTCAGGTCAGCTTCCGGTGTTGTGCGTCTGCTGAAAGCATTCCCTTCCCTCGCCAAACAACCAGAATGTTGAAAATCTCAAAACATACAGTACTTATCTACAAAGTGAGGAATTATACTAGCTTAGTACAGTACGAACAAAAAAGAAAAGTTATTCCACCATGAAAAAAAAAACCCCTTAGCTTAAGGTGATCGCCCAGATCCTGCAAACCAAATACATCGTGCGTACCCGCTCCACTCTCTCCCACACTCTTGTAGCCCGCCCCTCGCCACCTTCCATCTCGGCATCGCCCTCGATTCGCCAGCTTCCCAAAAACTACCCGCTTCCCATCTAGTAAACGGACTTAAGCCCTCTCCATCACTACCTCAAAACCGCTTCGTTTATTTTTTTTTTTAATTTTTGTTCCGCTTACGTTTCTTATTCCAGTCCCTCGGGTCCGAAAATTACGAATATGGTGCGATATTGCCACGTCCCTCTTCCCCCTTCCGGCCTCTCCGTTCCCCCCCTTCACCAATCCTAATGTAGCGGCAGCCATGTAGTAAGTTAGTGTCTTTTTTCTCGGGTATGGTCTCCTTCTCTCTCTCTCTGTGTGTGTGTGTGGTCGTTATTGCACCGGTTTGGTTCGCCGATATGAGACCTATTTTCTACACCTGGGTGTGCCGGATTGCCGGAAGGGGAAGAATGTGGAGATTATTCCGGGAGGGGAAGGGGAAGGATGGTGTAACGTGACTTTTTTGAAGCGGGCTCAAGTACGGGGAGCGATGCGAGTGGCTCGGAGGTCAAGTTTACAGTGTTTGATGGAGGAATGAAAGATTACTTTGTTGGGAAGTTGACAAGGGGGTTCATCGTGATCGTATGGTTAGCTTGTTATGCAGCTGCCCATTGTATTATCTTTTTGAGGCTTCATGGTCCGCTCCAATGGCTGTGGGCTTGGTGGTTAGATTGTTGGGGCTGGATTACAGTGATGAGGGGGACACGAGTCAGACTCGCAGCTTTGGAGGTAGTTTGGATTTCCCCTGCTTTTTGAGCTCCTAATCTTACCTATACTGCTCTTTCCTGCGAAAACGAACTGTATCTTGAGATTCTTACACAGTCACTCCTCGACTGCTTCTGTGCCAAGACCGTCTTGGCATTGTCAAGTAGCACTATGGACATAACACGGACAATGGAAATAAGCACAGAGAAGCCTGTTGCGCCCAGAAAGCGGGTACAAGAACCGTTTTCCAAGCATCTCCGAGGATGCCTCCGCTCCGACTCTCTATGTCGCCGTTCCGATGATTATGTAATACAGTGATTTCCCCTTCGACCAATCATATCGCTTCCTCGTAACCACATCTCGAAGCGAATTTCCCAAAACGGTAACACTCAACGGGCGACTATCAGTTCCACAATCCTAGTGCCGCTCAAAACTTGCCTTTAATCTACACTTCTTCTCTTAGAATTACCCAAACCAGGGATTTGTGCTCGGTGGGCTGTTGTTCTCCGCGGCCCAACCAAAGTTTGTGTGTTCCTTGCTTGAAACCCATGTTCAGAACCACTCGTTCTGGTGGCGAGGCTGACACAGAAATGCAAGGGCAAAGCGATTGAGTAGGGAAAGCAAACCTATTGGTTCGGCGTTGTATGTGCAATGATCCACGCAACTTGTACAAAATTGCCCAAAGTTGACATACTCTGGGTAACTGACGCCACGTATAGAGCAACACTGCTCGTCAAGTCGTGGTATTGGCTCGGGCTCATGTCCGCAGACTTCGACGGTGATTTTCGAAGATACTTAATTGAGGTGGTTGAGGGATCATCATGTTTGAGAGATGAGGCCATTTTTTTTTGGTTCCGCGGTGCGAGTTTGGCGGTCCGCGCAGCAGTGTCGGATGGAATAAGTTCGGGTTACCGAAGGAACTCAACATGGGCCGTGTGGCAGCGGGGCATAAACGGGGCTGGTATCTGTCCAAGTTCTCAAGCAGACATGATGGTTTCAAAGTCCACAAGTATAGGGACAATGGGGATAGACTTGGTGTTGTACTCCTTGGTTGCAACAGTGCAACGCAGGACATGAGTCTGTCATAAACAGATGGTAGAACAGCGCCTTGAAGAGCTTAGCGTGTAATGAAAGTGCAATTTGGGCAGTCACTCCAAATGACCACTCGAATCAGTGCGCACAAATGCCTCAACTCACTCTTCACCCATTACCGCTTACAGCCTCACATCAATTCACCTTTCACTTTACTGCTCCATCGCACACATTTGGCTTTCACGACAAAAAATCAGGCACCACAAGCACAATGCCTCTTCTCCTTACCCTCCATTCAAGCTACAGCTTCTCCCCACAGCGCTGACGCTCACCATCAAACACCCTGATACGAGCCTCAACGCCCATCTCGTCCCTTTTCACAAAGTACCTCAGTCAATCCGATAACAAACAACCCCCAATCTCGAACAACCGCCGCTCACCCATCGACGCCCTCCTACATGTACCACTCCAACCAAACGCGTCCCCGACTCACTCCCACGCAAACATCCCCACAATGTGCAAAGAAACCGTCTCCCGCCACCGCCACTGCACGCACTCGCGCCTCCTAAACCGCACCTACTGCTCCCTCATCGAACCACCCTCCCCCTGCACCCCCACCGCCGCCCGCGCCTGTCCGCGCTACAAACAGCACTGCGAAAAACCCAGCGCAAAAACCCCATGTCTCGCCTGCAAGCGACAAGAGCGGATCTGCGAGATCCTAGCCGAGGAACAAGAAACGGCGCGGAACGAGCTGCGGGCCGCGGGGTTCAGTGAGAAGAATGTCGAGATGATGATGGTGCCGCCGCCCACGGGGTTCGTGATGCCGCGCTTGTTTCCGAGGGGGAAGGGTGGCAAGATTATCGTTCATCCGTTGTTGAGACATGCGCAGCAAGGGAGGGTAGAGGGTGCTGGGGATACTGGGTTGACGCCCAAGAAGGTGGACTCGCGGAGTTCGGGGGGTAGCAGTGATAGTGGACTGCAGAAAGAGGTTGGGCAGGAGAAGAGCAAGAGCCTGGGTAGAAAGAGGTTCAAGAATTGGATTAAGGAGTTTCTGTTGGCGGGAGATGTGGAAGATGCGGTGAGTATCGGGTTCCCGAAGATGGATGCTTAGGTGTTGGTGGAATGGGTTGGGTAGAGGAAGAGGACATATACATCGGTGGGATATGATGACGATGAAGAAGTGGATCTGGGATACACAGTGGGTTGGGTTATATGCGGTTGGGCGGGGCTCATTTCTCTCAATTTCTTATCATACTACGCGCGAGGCTCTATCACACTACGTACGAGTCCACACTATGACACGCGCGAGTCCTGGATGGATATTACTGCGTCCCCCAAAAAAAGAAAAACGACTACTACTCAAAAGAAAATATAACCAATCTACTCATTCTGAATGAATAGCTTCGTCTCAAACCTCTCTCGCAACCTCTCATATCTCTGGACATCACCGACACTAGGTCGTACCGTTTTCGCTGCCTCGATAAAATCCAACTCCTCAATAGACTCACTACGCCGCCTGAAGGCATGCTGGCCCGCCTTACGCAGCAGACTCTCCAGATCGGCACCCGAAAAGTCTTTGCACACGTCCTGCCGCCCAATCTCGGCCAGTTCCGGGTTGATGACGCCGCGTTTACGAATGAGTGACTTGAGAATATCCACCCGTTCGCTAGGCTTGGGAAGTTCAACATAAAGGAGCGTTTCTAGACGGCCTGGACGTAACATAGCGTCGTCAATCATCTCTGGACGGTTGGTTGCGGCGATGAGATAGATACCGTCCCGCATGGAGAGGCCGTCAAGTTCCGTCAGGAGCGTATTAACGACGCGAGCAGAAGCTTCATGGAGTTCCGTGGAACGCTTCGGGACAAGTGCGTCAAGTTCGTCGAAGAAGATAACGCACGGAACAGATGAGCGGGCGCGCATGAAAACTTGGCGAAGTGCGCGTTCTGATTCTCCGACATACTGCAGACACAAGGTCAGTAAAGTGTGATCAAAGGATAGGGAATATTCGTTCAAATGACTGTCCAGTCTTTGTACTCACCTTGTTCAATAGCTCCGGTCCCTTGACGCTGATAAAGTTTGCCTTGGACTCGGCGGCCACGGCCTTGGCTAGAAGCGTCTTACCACAACCTGGCGGACCCCATAGCAATACTCCGGTGGGCGCTGAAATGCCAAATTTAGCGAATTTTGCCGGGTCCTTGATAGGTTCGCAAATAGCCATCTCGAGCTCCTCGCGGACACCCCCGAGCGCACCCACATCGCGCCATGTAGTGTCTGGTACTGTCGCGAAGCCCTCTCGTTTCGATGAAGGAGTAATCGTTGGCAGAACAGCCTCAAAGGCCTCCATTGAGATGACTGTGTCCTCGAAACCTTCGGGACGCGGAGCCTCTGTGTCCTTCACTCGCTGAATCAACCGTCGAATCGACTTGTTCATGAGCGCCTCCGAACTAGGAACCGCTTCGTTATCTATTTCCATGGCACCTTCTGTGCTGGCTGCTTGCTTTTCGAGTGCCAAACGATATTGATCCATCGACCAAGTTCCTGCTTTGCTCACAAGGTCTTTCAAATCTGCACCAACAAAACCGGCGGTCCGCTTTGCCAATACGTCGAAGTTAACATCTGGCGATAGCTTCGGTTCCCTTGTAAGAGCCTGAAGGATGGACTTGCGCATCGGTTCGCTCGGTACACCCATGTTGATTTCCGTGTCGAAACGTCCTCCACGTCGAAGTGCTGGGTCAAGACTGTCTGGGCGATTTGTTGCTGCCAGCACAATGACCGGCTTGCCATCGTTACCCTCCATAGCTAGACTGTCCATGGAGATGAGTAACTGGGCCACTATTCGCTTCTCCATCTGGCTTTGCGCACTGTCACGTTTTGGCGCGATTACGTCGATCTCATCGATAAAGATTAGACATGGCGCAACTTCTTTGGCCCTTTCGAAGTGTTCGCGAATCTGTTTTTCTGACTCGCCCGACATCCCGGATACGACAGAAGGACCAAGAATTTCAACAAATGGTACGCCCAGCTCGGCCGCAAAAGCCCTACTAATGACTGTTTTTCCGCATCCCGGTGGGCCATGGAGAAGTATGCCGCGAGGTATGGGAATTTTCCGATTGGCGTATTCCTGTGGACACAGCAACGGCAGCACCAAATGCTCTTTGAGCTGCCCTTTGACCTTTTCAACACCTCCAAGATCCTCCAAGGTCACGCCAGTAGGTGCTGAAATCTCGATTTTGCTCTCTTGGGCGGCTGCACGTTTTTGTCTCTTGCTATCGCGCTCCTCTTTTGACTTGCCGCTGTCCCTCTTTTTGCTCTTTTCACCATTAGTAGTGGATTTGGATGTAGGCCATTGTTTGACGATCTGGCGGTTCATCCAGTCACCAGAAATGTCTTTGGGCTCATCCATGGTGAAGTTTCCCTCGAGCTCAGCTAGTTCGTCTTCTTCATCGCCAGACTCATCCTCTCGGATCACGTCAATCACCCGATCAATAGAGTCTTCGAGCTGTTTCTTTGGCCGTCTTTTTAAGCTGGAGTTCGATTTCTGGATATATTCATATACTGTATGGACCCGCAGCTTCAGTGGTGATTCTCCTTTGTCGTCTAGATATTTCTGGACTACCTGGTAGACGTCCTTATCCAGGCCAGCTTGTAGCGTGGGCCGACCTTTGGACGGCATGAGCGTGTCAGTGTAGTGAGTGTAACTAGCAGTAGGAGTGAACAATGGTCAATGACGATTGCGGTTGAAAATGGCTGTTGACGATGGTGGCTGAAGATAGCAGTTGGCAATAGTAGGAGATGGCGATTGGTAATAGCGATTGAAGATAGCTGCCGAAAATAGCCTCTGGTAATGGTGCTTGAGAATGGCGGTTGACAATAGTCGCTGACAATAGTCTCTGTTGATAGTTGTTACGACGGTGATTGAGAACAGCCTGGACGCGCATAAAATAATTCGCGATTCTTATCGATAACACTAGCGCGAACCCTCTTTCCGCTCGAGGAAGTCAAGCAGGACACTACCAGAACACCTCTGTCATCCTTACCATAGAAGTAAACAGAGTCATGATACCCTTAAGTACATTAAAATACCGCGCAATGACTCACACATAGACTCACCTTGGCCCAGACTCGCTGTCTTATTGCCATGCTATCTCGCTACCATGCTACTGCTGTTGTATTACTGCTCTTATCATTACTTGTACTGCTAATTCAACATACAAGGTTTCTCCTTCTACAGAAGAATGCTTCGAGTCAGAGCGATTGCGTCTTATGTATAAGTCCAAGGTAAGAGACTCCCGTCGACTGAGTTGCTTCCTGTCATGTAGTGTCCCGACGGTATTGTGCTATATTAGGTTAGCGTTCATTGTTTCGGGCTTAGTGAATCGCCCATGGTATCGCGCTAACGGCCCATGATCGGGCGACCTGCCGGCACCAACCAAGGCATGGAGACCCGACTGCGAGGTCGCATGCGCACCTCCCAACACTCATGGAGACGTTGACAGCATGGGGAACTCAAATAGCGCTAACAAAATCTCTGCCCAGGACAAGTGAGTCACAGTCACATTTGTCGTAACTGATACTAATAAGATAGAGCGATCCTGGACATGAAGAACCAGCGGGACAAGCTGCGGCAGTACCAGAAGCGCATCACTATCCTTACCGACCGCGAGAAGGAGATCGCAAAGCAGTGTCTGGCGAAAGGCGACACAAAGAGTGCGAAGCTAGCGCTGAGAAGGAAGAAGTATCAAGAGTCGCTGTTGTCCAAGACAGACTCGCAGCTGGCACAGCTGGAAGTCCTTACGAGCGATATTGAGTTCGCGCTTGTACAGAAAGATGTCCTGTACGGGTTGCAACAGGGAACTGCTGTGTTGAAGGAGATCCACAAAGAAATGGGTGGCATAGAGAACGTTGAGAAGCTTCTTGGGGAGAACGAAGAGGCTCGGGCGTATCAGGAGGTATTACTACCCAACTATCTCACCTTGTACTTCCATACTGATGCGCGCGCAACAGGAAATCAGCGAAATGCTTGCAAACAAAATGTCCAACCAAGACGAGGACGAAGTCGAAGACGAACTCGAGGCCCTCGAAGCCGAGGTTAACGGCACCAAGTTGGTTCTGCCTGACGCGCCTGAGGCACAGCCGCAATTTACACCAGAGGAAAAGGCGCAGATGGCAAAGGACCGGGCGGCACGGAGGGCAAGAGAACGGGCTGCTGAGCAGGCTTCGCAACCCATGTTGGCTTGATGAAATATACGATGATGTAGGCATGGCATTAGAGCGCGGCGTTTGGGTGTTTCTGAGCATCATATGGAGGATTCGGCGACACTACAGGTCCAACAACATTCCTGTACGCAAGTGTCTATTCAAAGACAAACCTATAGGTTGGTGGATGCGTTTACCACGTGCATAGAATCTTCGCGACAAGTCACGTTTATGAAGAATATCTTTTCGTTGCATGCGTTGCTGTTTCCTTTCCCCGCACACCTCTCTTGGCGATATGAAGAACGACCAGGTTATATGAATAACGTCTCTCCTTGTGTCCATCTTCCCTTCCCAGTCTCCATAGCATCCGTGACAGTGACCAAAGCTTCGTCCAAGCTACCCCGCCCCCACCATCCACACCAGACCCGCATACATACAAACATCCACCAACGCGCACCCAAACATGTCGCACTCACATTCGCACTGTCACGACGAACATCACGACCACTCGCACGGCGACGGCCATGATCACAGCGATGACATCACACCCGCGCTCCAAAACATTCTCTACGAACAAATCGACTTCCCCAAGCTAGTCACGCTCAACGAAGATGAATCCAACAGCGGCCGCGCCATCTGCCAGAAAACATGGGCCCAGCGCCTAGACCCTGAGCCAGAGCTCAAATCCAGCGCCGACGAGCAACTTCTCATGACCGTCCCCTTCACAGGTCAAGTGCGCCTGCACAGCATCATCCTGCGTACCAGTCCCAGCGGCTCCTGCCCCAAAACCCTCAAAGTCTTCATCAACGAAGACGCCCTCGACTTCGAGACCGCCAGCGAGAAGGAACCCACCCAAGTGCTTGAAATCAGCCAGACAAGCGAAGTCCAGGAGATTCCAGTCAAGCGTGCAAAGTTTGGCACCACGAGGTGTCTAGCACTGTTTTTCGAGGATAACTGGGGTGGCGAGGATGAGACGCGGATTAGCTATTTGGCGTTCAAGGGTGATTATATGAAGCTGAACAAGGAGGCGGTTAGTGTTATGTATGAGGCTGCGGCGAATCCGAGTGATCATAAGAATATTGTGGGTATTGGACAGGGTGTGGGGAGGAGTATTCAGTAAGCTGAGGTAGGTGACGGACTATGCAGTCAGCATACGGGCAAGGGAGTTGAAGGTTTGTCAAAGGATACCATCATGTAGCATCTATATCCTTGGGAACATGCCACTCACTACACAGCATGCCTGCATATTTTAACAAAACATTTGACATACTCGGCGTTTTTTCTTGTCGCTATTTCTCGTGGGTATCATACCATCATAGAATCCAAAATACAGAAAGATTCCAAACCTTCTTTTGCGCTCTTCCGCAGTTCTAACCACACTTGTGTCATTTCTCCTTTCCGCTCTGGACATCTCTTGTCTCAATTATCCTAGGATCCCTAAATCTCTGCTTTTTCTCTCTTTTGTACCAGCCGCATCACGTATGTTTCGTACTTCCCAATACCTCGCCATGCACTTTACTCCAATCAATCTTGCCGTCAATCTCCTCATCTACACGTCCTACAACTGCTACGCTATCACCGCGGATGATGTAGAGGCCCAAGGGAACTTCTTCACTGGGTATTTCCTCTTCTACTGGTCGGATAATGCGCTCGGTGGCTTCTTGGAGGACGAGGTTCATGCTGCCGTCGCAGGAGTGCAGGAGGCCGACCATTGTGCGTCCGTCGACTGTGAGGACGGATACGCGCTCTGGAATAGGATGTTAGTTTGTCTGCGCGGAATGAAGTGAGAGACAAAAAAATCAAAGAGTCTCTCAATCCGGGGAAAGAACAGGGAACGTACTGTTTAGGTAGGCGTTCAGTGCCATTGTGAAGAGAGAAGATAAGTTGAGGTTTGGAGATATCCGAAGCTGATGTAGGGCGAGCGAACAGAGTATTGCTTCTGTGTTCTCGATTCCAGACAAATTTATCGTCTGACCTCTCCTTACTCGGCGCAAGAAAGCTCCACGAGAGGATCCGCAATCGCGTAGTCGAGCCGCTACTGAAAACGTCGAGCTGGAGCGAGCGGTCTGGCGGTCAAAATGCGCTGATATCCAAGGTCGAATATCCGCCGGAGGTACAGCTGAGAATATGAATGCGCTCGGGGTTTTCCAGGGGCTTGTAAGGAAAAAGAGCGTAGGGGCGTTGTCGGCCTTGCTGGAGACAGACAATGTACAAACAGCTCACAATGGAAGCTCGACTTTGGAAGAGTCCGTGCGCTTGGCCAATCAGCGTCGACTTCCTCCGCATGACCGGCGGCTTCACGAGGCAACGGGACGTACTCATGCAACTGCATCCATTAGTAACTGCCGGTTCAGTTACATTCGACATGTATGAAATTCAGAAAATCTCAGGTTCATAATTGAAATAAGTCATCATGACGTTACACTTCATTGTAAACTTTCTCACATCTTCATCTAAATCTCTAAAATCACCTGCAAGACATGCATCGGGTGCTCGGATCCGGTTCCCGGTTGTGTTTTGCTGTCTCCCGAATTTATTACATACTCGGCAGGCGAATGTTTGCATTGAAGCCTGAGAAATTGGGCGTTCGGCGATAGTCACAGCGGCTGTCCATCAAGACCACCTTTACAGTTGATATCCTCATACCAGTCTTTCTAATCCCGACTAAGGATGCTGTACCAAGAAACTTTTCAGCAGTACCTATTTTTAAGTTTTGATCATGCATCTTTCAACCATGTCTTATTAGATCAAGTTTGCATTGTAAATACAGAACATTGAAAAAACACCAAACCAAAGCCGAAGAACACAACAGAAGAATCGCAAAGATTTCGTTTACCAAATTCACCAACGGAAATCTGATTGACAGTATACAACCAGCCAACAAACTCGAAAACACAAACAACCGCAGAAATGTAGAGACATTCCAAAACACTTCAATCATTCACCCACACAAGCACATACGAACAACAATCACCCAGGAAGAAACATGACGCTTCCAGATAACAGACAAATACAAACCGTCATCTAGCTAAAAGTTAGCACCCCTCTCCTTCCTCTCCTTCCTCTCTCCCCCATTACCCAGCACCCCACAACCATGTCCTGGCTCAGCAACCGCACCAACCCCCCCAACCCCAAACCCTTCCCCTCCCAACCCGCCTATCCCACAACCGCGCCTCACCCCGCCCTCCCCACCATCACCATCACCCCCACAAACCCACTAACCAACCTCCCCCTCGTATCCCACGCCGAATGCATGCACCTCCTCAAAGCAGCCCGGATCTCGTACACGCACACGTACATGGCACTGAAGCAGCACGTGTACCATGATCTGGCGAGTGCATGCGGGACGGCACTGAATCAGCTGGAGAGTGTGGGGGAAGAGGGGGATTGGAAGGGCGTTATGGTGCGGTTTGAGTGGAAGTGCGGGAAGTGTAGGGAGAGGGCGGCGATGTGAAGGGGTTATTAGCCCACCAGAAAGCCCCCCAAAAGAAGAAGAGGTGACGTTTTTTTTTCTGAATATTTCGGGCTGAGTAGTTGGAGATATTGTATGGGGTTTGAAAGGGAATATAAAAGCACGGACTTCAGTTTGTTTGTGGGGAAGAGAGGGATGGACATGATTTCCTTTCATTAGACTTATGGATTACTTTTTTACAAGATTTTCGGTCTTAGGGAATTATACACAATTCGTTACAAACATGCTTCAAGCAGTCCACTTGGTAGCAGAAGCAGCCCTCTTGCTCCACTGGTGGTTGCCCTTGCTATCTCCCTTCCTGTTCTTCTCCTCAAACAGCTTCTTGCTCAGCTGCTTGTACAGGAACTTGCCGTTGTTGTTGAAGTTGATGCTGTGGTCCGAGTCGGTGAAGTAGGTGTTTTGCATCTTCTCGGGGCTGACCATGTTCACCATGAGGAGATCGACGAGGGCAGCAGCGTTCTGGAAGTGGACGTTGTCGTCACCAGTACCGTGCTGGATTACAACACCACCGGCAATGTTCTTAAAGCCCGTGGCGTCGTGGACGCGGCTGCGGTTGTAGCCCTCGGGGTTGATTTCGGGGGTCTTCATGTAGCGCTCGGTGTAGAGGGAGTCGTAGAAGCGCCAGTCGCTGACGGGAGCGGTGATCATAGCGTAGCTGATGATTGGGTCACCGACTTCAACAACCTTGGAGGAGAGGTAACCGCCGTAGGACCAGCCCCAGATACCAATGTGCTCGCTGTCAACCCAAGAGTTCTTAGCGAGTTCCTTGGCTGCCCAAATCTGATCTTCAGCCTCAAGTTGGCCAAGGTTGGACGCTACAGTTGAGCGGAAAGCACGGCCCTTGCGGCCAGTACCGCGGTTATCAACCGTGAGAGTGATGTACTCGAGCTCTGGGTCGGACGCAATGTAGGCCTTCCAGTTCAGCGAGCTGAACTGCTTGTGCACTTCCTTGGCGTTGGGTCCACCGTATGGGATGAGGATGAGAGGGTACTTCTTGCTGGGGTCGAAGTTGGGTGGGAGACGAAGCATGGCATCGAGCGTGTAGCCCGATGGGTGCTCTAGGTCCAGGTATGTAATGTTGGGCAAGTTGTACTCCTGGAGCTTGTTGTACAGTGCGCTGTTGTTCACAATGGTACGGATGGGCTGGCTCGAGTTGAGCGAGTACAGTTCCTGGTATGGAACGTCGGGACCAGCATATCGTAGGACGTAGTAAGAGCCGCCGGACGAGAAAGAGCCAGTCCAGAAGGCAGCCTCCTTGTCATTGACAAGGGCAGTCTTCTTTCCAGAAAAGGTGACGGAGTACACGTGGGACTCGGTGCTGTGATGCTCGGTGGAAGTATAGTAGACCAGACCACGCTTGTAATCAACCTTGAGGATGGAGAGAACCTCCCACTCGCCGGAGGTGAGTGCAATTGGCTCTCCACCAGAGACTGGGAAGAGGTAGATGTGCGCCCAACCACTCTGGTCAGAAATATCAAGGTAGAACTCGGTGGAGTTGCCGGAAGTGACATTTCCAGCCTCAAGAGCACCGATGTAACGGATCTGCATCAAGTTCTCTAGCCATCCATCGGTGCCGTCACGCTCACGGGTGACCTTGGACGAGCCGGCCTCAACGTCAACAGTCACTAGCTTCTCCAGATCTTGAACACGGTTGTAGGCACGGTAGATGACCTTGCTGTGGCCCTCAGTCAGCCAGGCGACTTCACCAATGACGAGGTCGTCCTCGGGGAACGCATCGATTGGGATGTTTGAGACTTCTCCGGACTCAACCTCGAGCATGTTCAAAACGACAGTGGGGTTCTTGGTGCCGACCTTGGGGTAGCGCAGCTCAAGCTCGTTGGGGTACACGGGCACAAATTCCGAGTCGTTGTCGATGTAGTATGGGATTCTGAATGAGCCAACTCCGGTCTCGTTGAAGCTCAGGAAAGCAATCCTGGTACCATCGGGAGAGTACCACAGAGTGTAGCGGTCGCCAAAGATCTCCTCTTCGTAAACCCAGTCGGGGACGGCGTTGAAGTAGTCTGGGCCGCCGTTCTCGGTGATTTGAGCAATGGTGCCATTTGTGCTGACATACAGGTTGTTTCCCTTGACGAAGGCGACTTGAGATGAGGAAACCGGGCTCCATTCAGCATACTGAATGTCGCCAGCTTGCTCGGGGTCCAGTGGCACAGACTCGCCAGTTGCGACGTCCATGATCAGGTAGTCGGCATAGTAAGAGTAGCGGTACTCCTTGGTGTAGTTGACAGCCCACATGACTTTGCTAGCATCGGGTGAGATGAAGAAGTCCCAGTAGTTTTCTGGGATCTTATCCGCAGAGATGAAGGTGGACGATTCACCCGTTGCAACATTCTCGAAAACAAGGTCTCCAGAAGCTGCTGGGTAGATGTAATCACCATCTTTGCCAGTTCCGACCCAGCTAAATGAGCGGGAACTAGCAGACAAGGACCCAGGGCTGGCGGTGGTCTCGTTGTAGGAGAGGCGCTTGGAGCCGTTGCCGAGAGGTTGGTGTGGCTTGCGGGGAGGCTCAATGGCCTGGATTAGCGGCAACACCGCTGTGAGGAGGGCGAAAGAACGCATGGTGAAGGAAAATACGAGGTCAGACCCCAGAACCTTTCAACAAAGAAGGTCGGTGATGGAAGCCCGCGCAGTAGCCCGGGGTGCACTGATGACGTCCTCGCACCACTTGGTCGTGTGAGCAACTTGTCGTGCAAGAAGACGAGACGAAAACGCCAAATCGACCGTGGTGTACAATATGGTAGTGCGGTGTTCTTATGTACTGTTGACGCGCAAATTGGTCTAATTGATGTTCGCATTCGAGCTTCCGCATTGAGCAGGTGTTAAGCGTCCCAAGGCCGACTGGTGTTTGCCAAGGAGCCCAAAGCAATCGGCCTGCCGGATAAACAAGGGCCCTAGGGGACGCCTGGTGTTGGCCACCTGGATTATCGGAGCGCCTTTACATTAGATAGGAAGGTGATCCAAAATCACCGCCATCTGCATCTTCCAACAGCTCACGGAACAGTCGGTACAGCCCTCTCCACGATCACGGCGCATAGCTGATAGGCCATGTCCCCTGCGGCCGTCTCCATATATTTCCGGGAAAACGTCGATAGAATGCTTGGTGACGCAGGGGCGGGTGAGTAGAGTAAGAGTGAAAGGTCTCTCTGGATTCTGGAAGGAATGCCAAGCCGCTGTCGGTACGCTAATCGCGTACCTTGCCCTTATCGCTCCTTGCCTCAGCTCTTCAAACTTCTACTTCCGACCTTCATCAGCTCTTGTTTGATTCTTGAATATCAATCCACTCGGATCCCGTCAGATTACTGGCAGAGAAACTACATTTGCAACGATGTGAACAAGTCGCACATCTCACGACGCTCTGAACAGCATTTGCGACCGATGGCGCGATTCTTGTCCATCCTTGCGTCCATCTTGCTTTTCCACAAAAACCAAATGGCGACCGTCCCGCTACAAATCAATGCAAAGTCGGCAAAGGATTCGTTGGTGCATCTGCATTGGGTAGAGGAGTGTTCCCCTTGAGCTGATAACAATGGCCATCGCCTATTGGCCATGCTCTAGCCACCAATCTCTAATGTTGATGAGACCAGCAATCGATTAGGGGCACATTGCAGCAGGGAGCAACCAAACGTTTAATACGTATCAAATTCGTGCTTGGAAGTTGCCATTACTTGACTCTGGTCCGCTAAACCCGCTCATACGACCCATCCTAGTACCCATCAGTCAGCAGAGTTCTTTGGAGGCACAGAGTATTACCATGGCTTTGCGCATAAGCTTTTCTCTGATTCTTTCTCGTCGATCTTCTTTTCTCTCAAAAATTGTACGCAAGACTACAAAGGACGTCGTTGAAGTTATGCTTTTCTTGCTGACATCAGATCCCGGCATATCCTATGTTCTGCACCGTCCCGTCCTTGCATCGGAAGTCCCTCCGCCACTCAGCGAACAGGAAGCCCTGGATATAAAACAGCTACTCTATACCAAAAAATGACATTCCGAGAAGACTGAACACTGGGATTGGGAATTGAAGCAATATCCTGCTGCTGGGCCAGCACGACTTCCCCGGAATCCATCGAGTCAAGCCAACCGCGGTCACGTGTCTGAGTTTACGTCCTTTCATCCCAGGCCTTGACAACCCCCAAACGACTTTCATCATCCCAAGCCTTACTTGACTTCTCTTGTCTGCCCGTAAGCATCTTACCTCAATGCGCTAGTAGTGGCAGGGTACGAACAGCTTCTCTATGTCAGCCAAGCACCTTGGCACGATCTCTTGGATGCTAGTTTCCCTCTAACCCTCTTACAGTAGCTACGGTTCTTCTATACTGAAGACATACGTTTATTTTACCTTCTAAGACTACTAATTATTATTCCTCTTATCTCTAATTCTAGACAGAATAGTTCAGGGGCTGTTCTAAACCACATCCAGTGCCAACTAAGGATCGACTTCAATTTCTTCTCGCATCCAACTCTGCTCTTCCATTACATTGCACCCTCGTGTCATCTTTACATCTCAGCCCGAGCGATGTTGCCGTATACGTCTATCTGGTATTGCCAGGACTTTACAAGGCCCCCGAACGCGATGAACGACTCTTCTTCCCATACCCGGCGCATACCCGGGTAATACCAAAAGCCTTATCGATAGGCGCTTACACTGCGCAACCCAACAAACGCAGCACCATGCTGCGAGAAGCACAACACCAACATACCGTACCGATACGCAGATCAACGGGGGCCGAAATACACCCCGCAAGGGTCACGCAGGGCCAAAAACTACAGCAGGCAAGAGCGGCCATAGAAAAAAGCGGGGGTACGGCTCGCTAGTGTGGTATCGACTAGGCCCCCTCCTCCCCCCTCCCCTCACATCATACCCACATGCTCGTCTTGCAACGTGCATTGACGAGAAACATGGGCCACTAGGTGCCTGGTCAAACGTGAAGAGACTGTTGGGAAGGGGGAGGAGGGTATCCCGTGTTCGTTTCGAAGAGCAGGAAAAAAAGCAGGTTGATGGGTATGCGACTGGCAAAGAAGGGTCTTGCTACAGAGCGGTGAGGTGATCCAGCCTGAGCGCGCGCCATGTGTAGAAACGACTGGTCCCAAGAAAATCATTTCTTCTCGACGTTGCTTTGGTTCACGTGGGTGACACGGGGACCGTTGTCGAGATCACGTTCTAGCGATCGACACTTCTTACTGCTTGCATCCTTGCAATTTTTGTTTTACAGGTTTGTGGTGCTACGCGCACGCGAAAGTTAAACACCAAGACGTCAGCGTTTTGAGACGTCATTTTGCAATCGCCCACTACTTGGATGACCTTGGTGCTCGTCATTATGGGCTTGTTGTCTGGATCGCATTATGTAGTGGTGAGTCATAAGTGCTTGGTCGCGACTAGAGGTGAGAGAGTGCGATGGAAGGGAAGCAGGGCCCAGCGTTGAACGCGCTGTTTATGCGAGTCCCGCGATCCTTTTCTTTTCCAGGGAAATTACGTTGGGTAACGAGTCTGGAAAGTTATCCAGTAATTAAGGTTTGTTGGCGACGCTGTGTCCATCCCCACTCGGTGGATTACAGTCTAGTCTGCCCATTTGCGTTTATCGAGGGTAATATGGTACGCATCACGAAGCGGTCACCCGTCAAACATGTCGTCTCTGTTGTCATATTCAAGTCTGGGTCACAGATGTCATTATTCCCGAAGGCTCATCTTGGAAATGTTGTCGCCCTTATGCCGGCATATGACCTGAAACGCGGGTTGTTCGCACTTCCATTACGCTGTTGCCATGGGCGGTGTCGGAGCCACGAAATGTTGAATGTCAACAACACATGTATGGGTTCTAGATGCGGGCCTTGATGTGCACAGGTGGGCTTGGAGTAGCGGTGGCATGTTGGCTTACAGTTGTCTGTTGGCGGTGCTCGGCACCGCGTCACGGATTGAAGAGGCTGGAAAAAAAAAGTGGAGAAAGGCACCGCCACACCCGGCACCAAAACATCCGTCGCAAGACCTTGGCTTCGAAACGAACATTGCAAAACACATCCAGAAATAGATACTTTTTTCTGCCAGTTTCAGTAGCCCTTGTTGAAATGAAAGGAGGGGGGGGGGGAGATCAAAGACGGTTGAGAGGGGTCAAGCAAGGCTGCCATAGAGGAGCTCGAAGCAGCTCAAAGTTGTCATGGACCACGTCGCATCGCTCGGCACAAACGGCCAATCAGACGCGTGGTTTGTGGCTTTGTCGTCATGCGCCACCCTTGAGTGACGTCGGTTTCCTGAAACCAAGCGCACCCTGGTCATGGCACCCATCATCGCTGCGCCTGGCGGTTCAAGAGGCATAAAAGCACAGGGAAGAGCTGCTCTTGCGTTCGCATCACTCCTGCCAATCTCTCCTCATCGTGGTAGACAAATTCCCAACACCATCTACAGCCCCCAAGCTCGATCCCTCCAAACACCCCCTACTATTTGATATATCGCCAATATGGTTGCTCCGGCTATTCTCATGGGCATTCGCGGTGTCCAGGTGCTGTTCAGCATCATTGTGCTTGGCTTGAGCGCATATCGTAAGTAAAAAAAATCGACCTAATTGTTTCTGAAAGCCCTTGTGCTGATGATGAGTTTTTTTAGTTGTTGATGCATACATCACCTGGGTACCAGGAAGCGTTGCGTTTATGCTCTTCACCTCCATCTGGACCCTTCTCGTTGTCGCCTATCTGATCCTTGCGCCGACCCGCTTCCCTGCAGCTGCGCACAAGTATGCTGTCGCGGGAGTCGAGTTCATCACCATGATCTTCTGGTTCGCCGCTTTCGTCGCTGTGGCTACGCGCTGGGGCGGTGAGTGGTGGGTTGGCCATGGCACCTTCTGGAGCTGTGGTGTTGCTGCTATTATTTTCGGAGCATTCCTCTGGTATGTCAAACCTAACATGTCTCTGTGTGTTGTGACAGCTTTTCTGACAGGACTAGGTTGACATTTGTCGCTACCACTGTTCTTGCGGCGCTACATGTTCGTGGCTCAGCAAGCAGCGACCCCGCCCCACCCATGACCAACGTCTAAACAACGACCTACTATTGTTACACTTCGACCTATACCCACGGCTAGCTTGTAGCCACTCAGGAAATGATACCCCAAACTATCTCTTTGACTTGTTCTCGTCCCGTCTCTTGGGGATGCGGGACTCGGCGTTTGTATTTGGTGTGTACGATATGTTGTTACGACGCCTTGTTGGCATGTTATGGATTTCCGTAGCCACACGCTTAATGAAACTATTTTCTGCAAGTACTCTTTCTGCTGACATGTATCTTGGTCATGGCGATGTTGTCAGCGGCGCCGGAAAGGGTTTTGCCATTGCGTAATTGTTAGTCATTGCCTGACACGGCGTCTGCTACTGTTTGTAGTAATAGCTGGTTGTGTGAACAAAGCGTAATAGTAGCGCGCAATTGTGGCATCATGCCCAGAATTTGGATGGGCTTGTGGTTGGCCTCGTGTTGGCCACGTGATGATCCTCCGGGTTACCGCTGTCCGTACTCCGGAGGGAATGTGGCCGGGTCTCCCACACACACTCACCCCGACCAGCTTGCGAGCCAGGTTCTTTTTGTATTACTTGGCCAACGTCTCACGGTCTTGTAGGATTCCACAAAACGACTATAACTTTATTAAGGCGACCAACGTGCCAACTTGCGTCTTAATTGACCTGCATAGGTGGTGGGCATGGCGATCCACATTAATCCCTTCGCTTGCGCAGTCGGAGCAAATGGCACGACTGCCCTCCCCAGCTGCCGATGGTGGCACGGGAGCATTGATTGAGCCACGGGCTTGGTTTGGGTCGGGAGGGATTGACACGAATGAGTGCGCTTGTCGTACATGGTTACTTGGGCAGTACAGGCGCCCACTGGCCTGGCATGCGCTTTATCGGTCTTGCCGTATACGAGCCGCAACGGATGTCAGGCGCTGTCAGATTTTCATATCCCTAGCTTGGCCTCGCTTGTACTATTGTTTGTTCCCAGTTGGCGCTACCGAACCACGTGCAAGTGTGGAGACCAGCCATGGCCACAGCAATATCATGTAAACCTCCGATTCTGCATTGTATAGTAGGTAGATATTGGCAAAGCCGACTGCAATATGTACAATTCCGGCACCCACCCCGAGCCGGCGGGAGGCCAGGCACGCTAGAGGGCAGACACGAGGGAAGCGGCAGGGAACGCCACTGCAACTCGATAGTGCAACCACCGACGACCTGGATGACTGACAATGGACAGGTTAAACACACGGTTGCGGCAGCGGGTGTGTTCCAAACAGGCGACAGTTCGGCCTTCTTTCACCAGCGTTCGGTCCAGCAGCGCCCGGCCATTGGCCCTTGACCTCCAATTTAACCGGTGCCAAGCTATGCAAGCCCATTGCGCCGAGACGCTTCTCCAATACAAGGTGGCGCTTCGGTAATACGGCCACCCTCTCCGTCTTAGCATACCCTTGCCCCGGACCATCTGGGGTAACCAGCCGGGGTAGTGGAGAGTGTTTGCGGCAGCAGTCTGTATAAAGCATGTCAACCCCCACTGGCCTCCATTCCTGGTACCCCCCATTCCTTCACTTCGCTACCAAAGACCATCGTCATCATGGTGGGCGTTCAGAAACTCGCGGAGGGCACTGCTGCCGAGCCCATCATCACCCGCATGTTGGAGCAGGACAAGGTACGATGGTGGAAAAAAAGAAACCTCCGCCTCATGTATGTCTGGCTCTTCTGCTGCTGCATGGGCGTTGAGATTACATCTGGTTTCGACTCTCAACTCATTGGCACCCTCCAATTCTCCGTCCCCTTCAACAAGTGTACGTGCTCCATGTGCTTTGTGCCCCCGGCCCCTTGCTAACAAAGATAGACTTTGGAGACGGCTACCTCGACAAGGATGGAGAGCACTCCATCAACCCCAAAATCATCGGTTTCATGTCTGCTTGCTACCAGCTCGGTTCCATTCTCGCCGTCCCTATCGCCCCATGGCTGAACCAGCGCTATGGTAGACGTATGGCCGTCTTCGTCGGTTCCGTCATCATGGTTGTTGGCGCTATCCTGCAAGGATTTGCCCAGCATAGTAAGTCTCATTCGATGCCCATCATCAAATTGTAGTTCTCACAATCAACAGTCGCCATGTACATCATTGCACGTATGCTGCTCGGATTCGGAATTCTCTTTGCCATCATTGCCGGATCGGCCTTGATTGGAGAGCTTGCCCACCCCAAGGAACGTCCATTCATGACCTCTCTCTTCAACGCCTCATACTTTATCGGTTCCATCACCGCCGCTGCCATTTCAATCAAGACAACCACCATTGGTGGAAACTGGGGATGGCGACTTCCTTCGCTTCTCCAGATCTGCCCTTCGATTCTGCAGATTTGCACCGTTTGGTAAGATACCACTCTATTTCAACCCGACACTCGCTGACATGGCTAGGCTGCTCCCTGAGAGCCCACGTTATCTGATTTCCCGTGACCGTGACGACGAGGCCTATGCCATTTTGGTCAAATACCATGCTGAAGACGACGCCAACTCGCTCCTCGTCCAAGCTGAAATGGCCCAGATTCGATCCACCATCAAGCTCGAAATGGAGAACTCCAAGCAATCCTGGATGGACATGGTCCGAACTCCCGGTATGCGCCGCCGTGTCATCATCTCCGTCTTCTTGGGTCTCTTCACCCAGATGAGCGGCAACACTCTGCTCTCTTACTACCAAAAGCTGCTCTTCAACCTGATGGGTTTTACCGATAACAACACAAAGACGCGCATCAACATGGCCAACCAGTGCTGGAGTTTGTTGAACGCTGTCATCATCGCTCTCGTCGTCACCCGATTCCCCCGTCGTAAGATGTTTATGCTTTCCGCTGGATCCATGGTCATGGTCTTCATGGCCATTACCATTACTCTGCACTCGCTTCAGACAGCCGACAAAGCCGGAACCACCAACTCATCGGCCCAGATCGCATCTCTGTTCTTCTACTTTGCCTACTCTCCTTGTTACAACATCGGAAACAACTCGCTCACATACACATACCTTGTCGAGCTGTTCCCTTATGCGCAACGTACCATGGGTATCGGTATCGAACAGATTTTCGGAAAGTTGGCTGGTTTCTTCTCCATCTACGTCAATCCCATTGCCCTTACCGCGATTGAGTGGAAGTACTTTGCCATCTACTGCGCATGGATCTCCTTTGAATTCTCGTTCATCTACTTCATGTACCCCGAGACGTACAACCGCACGCTCGAAGAATTGGCTTTCTGTAAGTTGATTTCCATCATTTCTCGCCAATATCATTTGCTGACTGTTTTCTCCCAGTGTTCGAGGACGATCTTGCCGACGAGGCTACCAGGGCAACCGAGAAGTCGGTTAACCAGGTTCAAGACAGCACAATTGTTGACCACGGCAAGACTGGAGCTACTACGATCGAACGTGCTGCTTAGAGATGTTTTCTTGGTCAACAAGTCACTCTTTTCGGCCGTTTTTTTGAAATATGTAGTTTGCATCCATATATAATTCAGAGCAGGTCATGATTTATGATATCGAAAGAGGCCATGGCTACGTTACTGCTCTTGCATTAAATGATATATGATTTTACCATCAAACATGAATTTACGCTATGTATTGACTGTGCTATTCTTGCTTAACATGTAAATGGTCGAATTTTTGATTGATTACTATGACTAAATGCTACTTCATCTTTCGCGGTCAACCGATTACTCATCTTCACCAATGCAAGTTAGCCAAAACCGCTTTTACCATTTTCCAACCTTGCCAAACTCATCAAGCGCAGTTTCCACATACGTGATGGCGTGCACATATCCTTGTCTTTCCAGTCCCGCATTGCAGACTATCGTGAAACCAGTTTGTTGATAATACCATGTTAGGTTTAGCGCAGCAGTGTGCAATGTAGCTCGCCACACTTGACCCCTCGGCCTCAAGTTCAAGACATGCATTGTGTGTTAGACATTATGACGCTACGACATGGTGAATTTGTACTGCTAAGGAAAGGGATATAAGACAAGGGCATGTTCACGATGAGGATGTTTTTGAACAATGCAAAAATGTAGGTTTGTATTTAATACTCACGTTTCTTTTTGGATAATTCTTCTTTTCTAACTTGTCAATCAGAGAGTACGTTCGCCTACAGCTCATTCACCTACAGCCACCAGGAACACCCTCACCATGAATCGAAACACTACCCCGAGTCCTGCATCTACCGTTGTGTCACTGACAGACTCTCGAGATAGCGTAACACGCCGTCGTGACAATATGGCCCCCTCTACACAGACTGCCCAGATAGACTTTCTGAAAAGGCAGCTGCAATCATTGACACAGGCCAAGGCTCAGACTAGCAAGAAGTGCGATGATTTGTTCCGGGATATTTCTTCTTGGTCTGAAAAGTTCGAAAAGGAAAAGACTAGACGGACGCAAAGCGAGGAAAAGCTGTCGAAAGAACGCCGTGCATTCATTGGACTCAAGAAGGAAATGCAGGAGCTCAAGGAAAAGACTGATAAGGAAGTGAGGGAAGTCAAGTCTCATCTCGAAAATGAGAGGAAGAAGTGGATGGGACAGGGGCTGTCTACTAATAGGAAGCCCAAGGGTGCCGTTCAAGCCAATGCCTCCAATCTCCAAAGCCGCATCAAGTATCTGGAAGAAGAAAACGCTCGACTGGAAATGCTAACCAAACACCACGATTGCGAGAAGATTTACGACGACGCCCAACAGCAAATCGATGATGCTATGACCCTCCTGCGAGCTGCGGAAGCCGAGGCCGAGGAGCTGCGCTATCTTGAGAGTGCTAATGAAGAGCTTACGGAGCAACACTACTTTGACACACAAAAGATCGAAGAACTCTTTGATGAGCTGGAGTGTTGCAGGGCCACGGTGGAGAAACTCGAAGAAGAGATTGCTGCTGCTGATGAGCAGCGGGGCTTGGAATCACCTGTATCTTCCAATTCTGATATCTCTGATGTCTCAGATATTTCACCCGGTGAGTCACCAACGCCCACCGAACCTTTGGATGAAACCTCAGAAACTGATTACCTTAGACAGTCTCTCCACGACGCAGAAACTGAAAACGAAAACCTCATCCGCGCATTCGCCAAGCTCTCCCACGAGCACTGCGATACAATGGCCGAACTAGACAGGTTTTCTGAACACGTAACCTTCCTGACTAACGCAAACCTCGACCTCGAGGCGCGAAACGACGTTCTAGAATCCCAACTCGAGACCGCTATCCAGCTTCTCCGCGCCACAACCGAGGAGACCGGGCAGAATCCTCCAGCCCACCACCGCACCCACACTACCTTCTCAGACCCAGACTTCGTCGATGACCTGCCCACACCCGATCGCGATTCCCCCATCCCCATCACCATTCGACTATACGAGAAACGCGACTGGCCCCTTCTGTACCATGTCCAGCGCACCTTGTTCGGTACTCTTCCCTTGCAAGTCGACGGTCCTTTGCGTCTCGTGCGCGAGTTCGTGGCTACGATGAAAGATTCAGACCATGAATTTCAGGAGATGAAGGAGCGGGTGGAGAAGTTGGAGGGGGCGTTTGCGGTGGGGGTTCAGGAGGTGGAAAAGTTGAAGAAAGGTAGGTAGGAGATTTGGTTGGGGGTTCTGGAGGGTGAGAGTTGGATTCATGTGATTAGATGGTTTCTTTTATGCTATTTCGTTTTCATTGATAGAGTTATTAGATTGGGTTCGGAATTGGAATTCCTATCAATGCAACTTTTAACACGGCTTTTTTCTAGTGGTTCTTGCAAATGGTGAAAGCGATGCCCACGTGATGTCCGAAATACCTGGATCGGTCTAGCCTTTTGCAGGACCTCTGTGACTATTGAGGAGGGGTGGTAGCGTCCTTCTTTGGGTTTAAGTACCTGCGTTCATGATTACGTTGCCTTATACGATGCTTCAGCTGACTAGTCGAGGGTTACGCATGTCATTGGTAGAGCGAGGCCCGTGCACAACCGTACGTCTCCGGTTGTGGTAGCGGGCAAGGGCTATGTGAGGTATTTTTTACCTAAAGGTAGCAACGAGTTCTAGGTTGAATGCTGTACGCTAATCTATGTGTGTGGCTGGTTTCAGCCACACTAGTCGTATCCGTTGGTTTACGTAGAAGTGTTATAATAAAAACAGGTGCGACTATTTCACAGTACATGTTCAATACCTTGCTTTCCACACCTCGCATACGACGGCAACTAACATTATCCTAAAACATGACTTCAGAAACCGACGAAACCTCTAAAATCGACTCTGGCAAATTCTACAACGAATACAAAGGCCATCCCATCAGCGACTTGACCAAATTCCGCGACATAACACTGGCCGAGCGCCCCGACAAACCCATCATCTACCTCGCCGGCGACTCCTCCCTCGACAACAAATTCTGGCTCAAAGAACGCATTTCCGCGGGCGACGACGCCTCTGCCATCCCCTCCATCTACCACTCGACCCTCGCCTCCCCCATCACCCTCATCCCAGACGTAGCCTACTGGCTCAACTCCGCCCTCTCCACCCGCGCCACATGCATCAACACGGCCATCGAAGAATCCCTCTTACGCTCGCGCGATAGCGATCTCCTCCCACACGACGCCTTCATCCGCTCCAACATCCGGCCCAATGACATCCTCGTCGTAAGCGTCGGCTCCAACGACATCGCTCTAAACCCGACTGTGGAAACCAGCGCGCACATGTTTCAACTTGCGTGGCTTACCCCGCGCAAATCCATCGAAGACGGGTCCGCATGGGGTCTGCCGTATTTCCGCAATATGTTCGGAACGAAGATCCAGGAGTACATCGCCTGCCTTACGGAAGAGACGAAGCCAAGGGCTGTGATTGTTTGTATGATTTATTTTCCGCTGGAGAGTGGGAAAGGGCAGCAGGGCTGGGCGGATGGCAAGCTAAAGGTTCTGGGGTATGAGAGGGATCCGGGGCAGTTGCAGGCGGCGATTAGGGAAATGTATAGGAGTGCGACGGAGGAGATTAAGGTCGAGGGGGTCGAGGTGCTGCCGTGTGCGTTATTTGAGGTGCTGGATGGCAAGGATGCGGCGGATTATGTGGAGAGGGTTGAGCCGAGTACTGAGGGGGGGAGGAAGATGGCGGAGGAGTTTGTGAGGGTTTTGGAGGGGGTGTTGGGGGAGGGGGTGGGGAAGGAGGGTGAGTAGGGTGTGTGTACTAAGGTAGTAAGTTGATGTCTCTCTCTCTCACCGCGGAGGAAGGTATTTTTACTAAATTAGAAGATAAAAGGCGTCTTGAAATGGTACCACACATGTATCCATGTGGCGCAGTTTTACCTGGGACACCACTATCCAATTACTTAGCGCCGTTGTGTAACACCCTCTGTAGGATTGTGAGCGCTTACCATCAGCCTTGCGGGGATACATAAATACGACTACTGTTATCAGCAGTGGCATGACAAGTGTTGTTCTGATTTATATCTCAAATTCTGAGAACCGAGCCCTTGACAAATCCCTAATCTCATCATTTCTATCACTACATAGATACAACATACGCTATGGCAAAGCTGGAGCTCAAAGGTCCATTAAGCAAGGCTGAAAAGCCCAAATTCTCACAGTATGCTGTTTCTATTTGCCTGTCGCGTCGCTCGTACGCTTATCTTACATAGTTTCCTCACCTCTCCCCTCGTAACCGTCACTGTTGCCAGGTCGAGAACATTCTACCTCCACTTCGACCTTCTCGTTGCCGAATCGGACATGTTTTCCAACAGCCTGACTGGCGGGTTCAAGGAAGCAGAGGAGAAAGCCATTGAATTGGAGGATGAAGATCCCGAGATTTTTGGATTCTTTGTCGAATACCTTTACCGCAACCAATCAATTCTTTCCCGCGACGTCGCACATTACTCCGAATATGTGACCCTGGCGCGCCTCTATGTCATGGGAGAACGCCTAATGGCGCCGAAGTTCCAGGCCTACACGTTGTGGAGGTTCGTTCAGCCACTAGACACCCGCACAACTATCTCAGATGAAAGCATCTGTGAGCTGCTCCGGATTGCGTGTGAGGAGATTATGGAGAGGGTCGGTGAAGATCCTCTAAGATCCCACATATTCTGGTATGCAGGGAACCAAATCGCAAAGCTTCAGAAGTCGGGCATGTTTCGTCAGCTGTTATGCGACGCTCCAGATCTGGGCAGGCACATGTGCTTATGGGTGGGCCAAAGTCAACCAAAAAAACCAGACATGCCGAACGAACTCAGATACCAGAAGTTTGCACCAGAGAGCGATTACCCCCTACAACAATACTCTGAGACTGCACCAAAGGATGAATAGTTTGGAGCTAGAGCGGGCTGAAATTGACTTGTAGGAAGGGAAGTAAAACACAATGTAGTTTGTCTCTTTACGAAAGTTGGAGTTGGAAATATACTTTTCAGTTTGGATAACTCCATGTCCACGAAAACGATGCAGAGTTATCAACACGCAAGTAACTTTACCTACGGTTCGTGTGAGCAGTTGACTATTGTGTACCTTTGTGATATTGTACAACCTACTTGAGCGTGATTTTCAGATCTAGAGGCAGCTTGCAACACTATGGCGAGCAGATGTAGCACAAGATTTGGTACAGCATTCATGTCAGTCGCACAATATTGATCGACCAATGCTGTGTAACCGGCGAACGCAATATTAATATAGATATATCATCCTCTACAGTGAGTTCTATGAACCTTTTTGTTTTTCCGTATTTTAGACCTACAAGATAAATATCCAGATAGAAGAGAAACCATAGTAGTCTGAGATTTGAGTATTACCGCGCGATTGAGTGCCAGGAATCCGAGAATGTCTTCGTGCAGGAGGATGATTGCCAAGTAGCTTGGCGTGGAGAAGTTAACACAGGACGATCGAATCACATCATTTTGTATTGAAAAGGAATGCGAACACACTGTACTGCATCTGTTTCTATAGAAGTCAGGTGTTCTCTTTTGTTTTTGCCGCGCGTCGTCTATTGTTGCATTAGGCGCCCGTTCGCGCCATCCTTTCTAGCATCCCTGCATTAAATAGCCATAGATGCAGCCAGTTAGGCGCTGACACAAGGCATCCAATTATATGCATGTAGAACCTGCTCTGCTCTAATAGAACGCAGTGGTGTATCTCGCACCACTGTGTAGTATCGTCACTACGAACGCCCTGAAACAGACAAAGCTAAGAGCTAGCAGTAGCCTACCCTGCCAAAAGCGAAAGACATCGTCACATATCATTACAGATAGTCAACCTCAGTCTTCCCTATAAGTATCAAATTCCTACCTTCACTCACACTCACTTACCTTCAGCCTCGCTCACTGGCATCTCGAAGACTCGACTTCCCACCGCCGAAGCACTCAATCACGCCAAGGGCGTACAACTTAGTTAACTCACGTCTGTCCTATAGCAAGAGGAATCATAATGAAACTGGTCAGATTGGAAGGCGGTCCAGCCCAATGGTACGATGTCAAAGACGCAGCCGACATCCTATGGCGCTCAACTCTCAGTCCAGACATCAACGCCATAACCGCCTCATTGCGCGACCTCTACCCAAACCCAACCCTCACTCTTTCGGAACTCCACACCGGCTTCAACGCTAGCCGCAGAGGCGTCGTAGTCTGCAACAATGACAAAATCACCATCGCATTTCTCGGCTCGGATGTCATGGAGCTCTACATGAACACATGGACCGATGGCGCAGGATGGTTGGGAATACCGTATGCCGTGTTCGAAAATGGCAATCGCATTCACAGCTTCTATCGCGACATGTGGCATGCGATGCGACAGGCGGCGTTTGATGCGCTTGATAGGGCAGTGGGAGATATGGCTGCACGAGGTACGACGCCCAAGCAGATCATTGTCGCGGGGTTTTCGATGGGGGGCGGGATTAGCATGTAAGCACCACCATGTCCCATCAAGCGATCAAAAAGATTTTTTTTTTTGGATGGCTGCTAATGATTTGAAAAATAGAATGGCGTTTACGGATATCCTTGAGAGGATCCGGCATACGTGGGGTGACCCGTCTGGCTCACCGCAGTCGTGGGCTCGGGACGAAGTGCTCAGAGAGCTCGTTCAGCATATCACTTTTGCGGCTGTTGCGGCGGGGGACCAGGGATACTATACCGTTTTGAATGACTTGTACGATAAATATCAGATTCGTGCGTGGGACTTCATGAATCGGTACGATTTCACGGTTAATTTCCATCATGGGGCATTTCGGTCTTGGAGGGGGTATCGATATGTTTTGCCTGATGCAATGGTGAGGCAGTTTAGCGGTGAGTTTGGTCTGAATGCGCATGGTATTTTGGGGTATCTGAAGGTGGCAGAGTGGATGGCTGGGGGAGGGGATGGTCAGGTGAATTCGGTGTATGATTATTGATACCATGCTTATATTACGACTTTGTCCGGAGCTACCTAAGAGTTATCAAGAAATTCTCTAGTGCAATCTTGATACAAGTAACTTCGCTCACTGTGAAGTAAGACACATCGTATTGAAGCGAATTTCGTGTACTTCAAATTAATATTAGAAATAAAATTGCCCTCCTACTGCCGGCTTTGCGGTTGATTAGAATGGCAGTCATCCTTAACTCCTTGAACGCTTTCCAGTCTAAAGCGTTATAGTTTAGCATCCTGAGGCCATAAGCCTGATGTATATGTACAATCTTAGGTACGGAATCGAATTATGACGTGCAAAAGATCTTATCAGCCTTGTTGTGGCTGTGTCAAGCAAGGTAAAGCAATGTTGCCACCCTGACTGGTATCTCCAACCAATCATTAAGTGGCTACTCAGCACGCGCGTTGAGAAAGGAATGTTGCTGCCTAGAATTTCGCTTATCAGCTTACCTATGAGTCATCTAAGCCTTCGTTCTCGCTGATTATTTATTCCTGATGAACCCAAGCCAAAGCTGTGTTTCTTTCAACATTGTCCCCTCTATCAACCTGTTTAATATCCATGAAACTTTCTAGTGTCAAATTACACGTAGGCTCAAGTGTTGTTATTTGGAGTTTGAATAAGTGTCTACTCAGATAAACAATAGCACTCTAGTCTGTTCTGAATTTCCTGTGGTACGATGATACCTTTCCGTCCTCACACCTGTAGGAAGTGTAGGGAGATTGTAATCTATGGTACTGGTCCTGAAGTCGACCTTTCCTTCGAGCTTTCATATCACAAAGTTAAAAAACTTAGCAAAGATTGCAAGTTCTTCCGTTAGACTTTGAAATCGTCAGCCAAGCGTCTACGTCCATCATACAAAATGAGTTTATCTATATCAACCGATTCCGAGGACCTTGAATATCTTAACGTAGTGTGGAAGGATGAATATGATGAGCACGTGTCACCAGATGACGGAAAGCGACAGCTGCACATCTTTAGTACGGAACGTAAGTTGTCAACAGTCACATGCTATGCTCATGGCTAACACAGATAGAGATGCTGCCGAATACATTAAATCAAGACCCCTCACACGATCTCGAGCGTCATCAGCCACACTAGAAAAGTGTTTGGAACGTTACAAAAGTTGTTTAAATCACGAAATGTGTAAGAAGGCCCTGAGGAGTAACAAAAGAAACACAGCACCTACACGTCTCCTCGAGATTCGACCAAATTCAGAACTGCATTTATATACAGTCCCTCAAGGGGAAAATCCCCTCTACGCAGCACTGACCTACTGTTGGGGTAATTCACAGCAACAGCAAAATGCAAAAACGACAAGCGAAAATGTTAAGAATCGGCATGGCAGAATAGACAAATGCCAACTACCGCAAACGATTATAGATGCTGTCAAAATAGCTCGGACACTAGAGTTGTCTTACCTTTGGGTAGATGTATTCTGTATCGTCTAAGATAATGCCGTGGAAAAGGCATTGGAAAAGTCAAAAATGAAAAGCATTTATAGAGGAGCCACTATCACCATCTCAGCAGCTAGCGCTAGGGATAGCACGGAGGGGTTTCTTAGGGATCGTGACCTTAAGAAAGCGTATGGTAATCTGTTCAAGCTTCCGTATTACAACAAGCGTGCCGGTCATGTGGTGAAAGGTTGGTTATTACTCTCTGAGCACCCCATCGCAGATACGTATGAAGAAAATATCGACAAAAGAGCATGGACAATGGAGGAAGACATACTTTCGCTTCGGCTTTTACGATTCGGTTCAAAGCAGACAACTTGGCGGTGCGCAACTTATCCTCAAGCTGAAACGATTGATGGAGGAGGTTGCCCAACCTTAAAAAATAAGGACTACGCTTTTTCTGTGAACAGCCCTCACCGAAATTCCGAAGTGAGGTCAAATGTTCTGCGTATTGGTCCATCGGGTGGCGAGTCATGCGTAGAGGCAGACTGGTTCCATGTCATTAGCGAGTATACACTTCGGAGCAGTAAAAAACCAAAAGACAGACTCCCTGCTTGTGCAGCGCTTGCTGAAAGTTTTGCGAATATAATGGGCTTCAAGTCATCCGACTACCTTGCAGGATTGTGGAAAAACAATATCCACTCGCATCTCTTATGGTATCGGCTAGAAGGAAGAAAAGCGGCATGGATATCTGAACCCTCTTGGTCCTGGGCATGTATCAGCGGGCCGATATATTTCCTAGGCTTTGAGCTATCAGAGCCCACCTCCGGTGCCAATATCGCAAAGTATGTTAGCAGCTCTATGGAATACAAATTCAGAAACTACAAGTACGGTGAAGTCGTTTCCGGCTGCCTCAAGCTGAATGGTCGACTCCGAGAGGTACATTGGAATTATCAATGTCTTAGGCGAAGTGCTGATGACCCTGATGTCCTACCCTTGGAGATATATTGGGATCTATCCGATGGTGATTCTCTAGATGGCCCTTCTTGGGAAAAGCCAGTATATTGTTTTGAAATATTTGGGACATGCAATTATTCACTGGGCCTATTGCTTGTACGGAATGACAAGTCAGGTTTCAGGCGTGCTGGCTGTTATGAAGACACTCGGGAGAGGGGCCCTTCAACTATGAGTTCTTTGTTTGACGAGACTGAGCCCCAGAATATTGAAATTCACTAGGTACGTATTTGTAGTTATTAATTGTTTAATTCAGATGTCTGCATTAGTGGCGAAGACCTCCACTTGAAAACAATGATGATCGTGAGGTTGCGCTTAGTATGAAGCGAGTTTTGCTAGTAACTGTAATGGCAATTACTTAATTGAATCCTTTTGTGCTGGAATAACTGGTGTGGCAGAATACAACTCTATAAGCAAGTAGATAGTAGGCAGAAGACCTTATTCAAACATATTCACAAGCTTCCATTATCTTCACTTCCACCATGTTCTAGCTTCGGCGATTAGCTCCTAGTCCGGCCGGTTTGCAGACACGCTTGATGTGCTATCTCTATAGCATCTATTCCTATTAGCTTTGTGCTCTTGCGAAGAATAAGGCAGCTTACTTTGAACTGTTACTTTGTTAAGTCCCATGCTTATTCCCAGGTCTAATAACACTTCCAGCAGTTCCTTCGTCGTCGCCCTCAATATCGCATCCGTCCTCGCCCTCATATCCCCTTTCCATGCTTCTTCGTCCATCGGCCCAACATGCCTTGGCTCTGGCAATAAGTGAAGTCCGTATTTGTGTGGTACTTTCACTACTACCTCGAAGAATGTATCATAAACAGATCTGCTATAATCGACCTGGATATTAAGGGGTATTTCGGGGAAATTGATCCGCGGATAGGTAAGCCCCATTAGACCAAAAACTTTGTCGCGTGGATCTTCGCAACCACAAGTATGAAAATCGCGAAACAAATCAATCAAGTCGCGGGGCCGTATGTTGTCCTTGAACTGTGCACTTAGTAATGACGCAGCAACCGATCGAGCTGCCTGCAGCTGTTGCATGTCATCTTTGGACATGTGTGTTAGAGCGCCTTGCATGTCTGACCAAAGTAGCCATCCTCCGCCTTCCACGAGAACCCGAACAAAAGGGGCAAGTAAGATTTCTTGTACGATCCACAGACGTGTGAAGTAGGGATTGCACAGTATTGGCACCAAAGCTTCCGGGCTGAATGATGTGCTGAAATCCCGTGCAGCTGTTGAGCAGACGTCCGAACTATCGAGGCTGCCGATCCATGTGATGACGGATCTGCATTGCTTATAGATCCTTGACATAAGGTTAACCTGGTGGTTTCGTTCACGAACATTCGATTGATCGATACAGATTTGATCGACCCACAGTAGTTCTCCGCTTTCGTCATGATTTCCGTACGAAGGTGGCCTGTATCTGTTTACCGCAGATCTATTCGCGCCAGTGTATTCATGCAGAAATCGATGAAGATTCTGTCGGATGTGCAAACGCTTGCCCTGTATGAGCAGAGAATATGTCGGTTGTGGACATCCCCATACATACGAGAGAGCTCTGTACTTTGGAAGTGTGTCGAGGTCGTGAATCACGATATCTCATCTGAGCTTCTCACTATTACTTGTCTTTAGTAGTCTAAGTAGACGGATCTGTTGCTTGGTTTCGTCAAGCGGCTGATACTCGAAGATATGAACGTCATAGATAGTTGTCGATCGTGTGCCGGTTGCATTTGGATCCGCGGATTCTGAAAAATCTCCAAGCTCCATAATTGTAGATATTGTTGGACTGACTTTTGACGTGGGGTGGGTAGCTTGTGGGCTGGGCGGATGCTTTTAGGACATGAAGAACTTGGGTTGGGGTGATGCACTGCCTCAGGGTGGCTTAATGCATTGCCTTTGGCGCCCCCGTGCACAGCGCGTACGCAGAACACCAAAACACCTAGCCACCAACCAAATTCAACGTGTCGTTACTCTCTCAATACAAACGCTGTCGACAAAGCAACTAAATGTCTGTGGCTGCCTGAAGTAGTGAAATAACACATTTGAGACGACGTTGCTCTCAAGTACCGCTGCAACGGCAGTGCAGTAAGTGTCTCGAAGATGGCAAGGCGTTTGACGCGACAGAGTTGGGCTGTGCTAAGCTCTAGGCGTCAGGTCACTGGCTATCTTGAGCATACCCCTATTTAGCTATCCCGGGAACCAAGAATATGTCAGCACTCCTCACCAGTGCATTAGATACGGAGGTACTAGACTATGTAGCTATCACGCATAAATCAGTCTATAGACTAACCTCTATAGCTAGTAAGTAGGCTTAGAAGATTCTATTCAATACCCAGACGTATGTAGGAGTAATAGACATATTATAATAGATAGTACTAATAGTAGCGATCTTATAACTCGCAAGGCATATGATTAAGATAAAGTAGGTGGCTTCGCAGGTTCAGAGAGAAATTGTCTTCACCGTTGTGATTTTTACATAAGTAGGCATACACCTACTTAGAATCAATTCTAAAATGCACTTAGATAGACTAATAGAATTGTTATAGTATTTACAAGCTATAATAGCGCTACAGAGTTGAAGTACCTCTAATCTTGTCTGTTACGGCGGTTGTTCTGTTACGAAGGGATGTACGTTAATTGAATACATCTAACAATCTCATCGCGCATCATAGGCACCTTAGGACCGCCAGATTCTGCAATGCCGTCCTAATCGCCTTAAATTAGTACAAAGTTTTCGGGTGTACATCACTCACACTCGTACACACTTGTTAATTATGAAATTCATCACACGTATCATAAACGCTAAAATATATGCTCAAACTTTCATTTAATTCAAAAGCTCCATCCCATTACTCCATTGCACCTCCAAACCCAAATCGCTTACTAGGTCTCTCGAGTCTCCTAGGTCTCCTATCTTTCCTTGGCCTGCTTCATAGCAAGGTGTTCTGCCAGCGTGTACTCTACTGCCTCTTCGTGGCTCCAGCTGGGAAGCAGGTTACGTACCTTAAGCGTCTGAACCGCAGCCTCTACATCTGCCTCGGTGTAGGTAGTCTCTCCAGTCATCTCGAGCATAATCACTGCGGTGTCGAGTTCCCTCAGAGTAAAGGTCTTGGTCTTTTGAGGAGCCATGTTTATTCTGCTCGTGGTGTACTTTTGTAGTGTTATGTGGTGATTTTATGTCTATAGCAAGGCATTTATCGTATTTAGTGTGATTGCTGTGTTCAGTGGGAAGGTAGATAGGGACTGGCTGTTCATATTTTATGTAGTGAAGGTGCAGATGAACAAGAGCGCTGTGAAAGAGATTTTAAAAATGAATAATGAACGGCATTGTTGATCAAGGACGTAAGTTGAATGCTCAGGCTCACACACCGCTAAACGTATACTGCATGTAAAATTTCTAATACAAGCATTGTTTCCGAGAGGGAACAATGTATCTCTAGCTCGAGAACACAAGGTGTTCAGCTCCTTCTGGGATACAATCGCTTGCGAACAGGGTAGAGACTCGTTCACCACCCTAGCTATACCTAAAACGGTGGGCAAATGGAGATGGAAAACGGGGCAACTGAACGGGCTCTTAGTCCGCAAGCTTACTTAAACTGTTTCTGAGTACTCCTGATGAAATAACTAAAAAGGGCAGTTCTCCGTATGTGGAGAAGTTATCGCCAAGAGAAGCGGTACAATCGATCTTGTAGTGCAATCTCACCAGATCGGCATGTAATACACCGGGATAAAGCCGTCGAAGCAAGAGTCATCTTACTATACAAAGTCTGCCATTTCTCAGCACTGTAAAATAAACATTATCTATTTAAGAAGGGCAGAATAATCTAGCTAATGAGAGACGTAGTTCCAAATTGACGGTACCCGTTAGTTACGCTCTCTCTCTCTCTCTCTCTCTCTCTCTCTCTCTTCCTCTAACAAACCGGAAGTCCTGGCAATGCACATATGAGTAAGTTAACGTCAACGACGGCACACATACAAAGCACGCGCATGCACTTACTAAAAGAAGATAAGCACTTTCCTATTATCTCCTTTTGCCAAGACGGCCTTCTCTACTTATTTTACTTAGAACTAAAGTTTAATGTAAGGTAAAAAGGCTTCAAAGCACCTAGCAGATATCTTTCATAGCCTATGGCTCTTTAGCAGAAGATGATCAAGACTTGTAGAGAAGCTCCACCAGGAAAAGTTAAGAAGAGCTACCGAATGTAGTAGGGAGACGTTTTTTGTTACAGAAAACTAACTAATCTATTGCGGTACATGGCCAAGATTTTGTGCCATGGAGACACTAGAATGATGATTAGGCTCTTCTTCGGATTATTCTATACCTAATTTACTACCGAGAAATACTTGGCTGTTCTTGACAACCACAACTCTACAAACTATAGCTCGTACTCTCTTTCCCAGTTTGTATCCTCCCCTTGCTAGTGCCCCACGCACAATACTTCTGCCATATACCATAGTAAATAGCATTTGTTACTTCAACAGGGACCCCTTACATCTTCCGTTGGATACGACAAAACGCAGTATAGTATGTACTCTAGTAGTTCCGACCCTTCAAGCTACAAAACCCCCCTCACCGCCCTCCTCCTTTCCCTCACCCCCAGCTCTACAAAGAGAAAAAAACCCCCCCCATTTAATCAAAGTCCTTGCAAACCCACAACAATGAGACTCCTCACCCTCATGCTCAATCTTACCACAACATCTCTCGCCCTAACCACCGGGTCATCCCTCGGCCTCGACCTCCTCGAACAAGATGGCTCCATCCGCCACATCGACGACGCATCGTAACTCAGCCGACAAAACTGGCCTCAGTGCTGTAGCATGAATTGGGCGACGCCGTGCTTCTGTTCCATCAATTATCATAGCTGTAGTGTATGTGTATCCTTTTCTTTTCCCTCTTTCCTTTGGAAAAAAGGCGGTGGCGGATAAGGGTGTGGGAAGGGGGGATATACTAAAGTAAAGAGGGGAGAGAGATATGTAGGCTAATAGAATGCTTGTGTTATAGAGAACATGTTGCTAGGGAAATAATTACTGGCTTTTTAAACACGGACTAAGGGATGGAAGGGGAGGTCTGGACTAGGGTGGTTACGCAGTTATGAGGAGGGAGAGGTGAAGATAAGGAGTGGGTTTTTTGGAGCACAGACTTTGCACACTATTAGGGTGATTTATAAATAACAGGGGGTGTAAAAGGGAGTTTTTTTTTTCAAAAGAAAATTAACTGAACTGTTGATGAAGAGCGTGAGTCGGACAATGTTGTTGATCTTTACGTCGGAGTGAAAGGGTTGGGGTTTTGGTGCAAAGACTTAGTCAAAACATTGTGTGGTGGAGCCACTTGATACCGACAGCCTTTTTGCCGTGCGATGTTGTAATCGGCGAATCTCGATCAAATACACGTCGAGAAATGGTACAGATTGGCTTTCACAATGAGTAACAATGTCCTCTAATAATCTATTTCATCTGGCCAAGGTTTTCTTTCTTGTTGATTTGACGACCTTGTATCTTATTCATGAAGCTCACCCATTCTCACTATCTTGCACATACCTCGACTCTTCAAATCTCATCGCTATCATTCCACTTCTCCTCGCTCCCCTCTTCAGCCACCTCATCCTCCCAGTTTTGATTTACCCACCCCTCCCACTTGCCTTCTCTAGCCCTCTCCTTCAGGACCGCATTCTTCGGGTACTGATTAGGCCACCCATCCTCCCTCCACTCCTGCAGCCTAGTAGCCGCACGATGACCAAACTTGTCATTGCGGAACTCAATACGCGGCATAGCGTACAGCGGCTCAATCGGCGCCAGCAGCGTCCTTGTAAAAACGGCATTTCGAGGCCCAGCTCTAGAGAGGCCTAGTACAGTCTTTATTTTCGCCTTTGCCTCGGCGTAGATTTGCTGGTGGTTTACGGGAGTAATCTTGCTCAGAGCTTCGGTGTAGATGTCCAGGACAGCGCCGCGGTCGCGAGGACAGCAGATTTTGCTGTTGAGATCGCTGGGGACTGATTTTGTGAAGCGGAAACGCTCTCTATGGAGTTTGCTGAGTGTCTGTTGTAGAGATCCTTGTCGTTTACCATCTATCCCTGGCGAAGTGGGGAGGCTGTTTACATCGTTTCCGAATTGGAAGTCGGACCATGTCAGCCCAGTTTGCCTTGGAGGCGGGAGTGGTGGTGGAGTTGATTGAGCAAGTTTGAGTTGCGACATGATGCCTGGCTAGGTTGTTGTGTTGAGAGAGGGTGGAGCTAGTTAAGTGAATGGTCTTGAAAGATATTGATATAGGGCGGTGGAGCATCCACTGTTCACTTAGTGTAACGCTATTCACTCATACTAACAAGCGCGTGATGCGCCAATGCTTGCCCAGGCGCAAATTTTAGTCAGCGGAGAGTTGGTGCTGATAACGAAACGGGAAGGAGCGCTAGTGCTGCCCAGATATACACTTCTCACAGTGGCCAAGCGACATCACTGTACACTCCATCATGAAGTTAGACTTTTTTCAGGCTATATCATTGTCAACACATACTTCTTTGAACATGTGAGAATCTGATCAGTGTGCTCGTCGCAGTGAAGTGTCTGGCAGAAGTGAAAGGAAGCTTCCGATTTTCTGTCGGGCCAAGTCAATATTAATGAAATCACAAACAACATGCCCTTTGGTTCAAGGCTCTATTGCCCTCTTCGTCTTTCTATTGTGTTCCCGAATATCACTGAGAAACGTAACTTTCGGTGAACCCAGAAAATATATCCATGACCATCAAGTCTCCTTTTTCCTGCGCGACATCAACGATATCATTCCTGCGCGTCGTCCCCAGCAGACATCGACTCTCCAGGTCCAGTGTGTTCTGCTTCCAAGTTTTCGGCTGATGAAATCGCTTTAGCCATGTTTGGGTCGAGCCCATGAAGCGCCAACTGTTCATGTCCCTTGATATGTTCGGCAAGCGCAGCCTCGATGCGATGATAAAGTGAAATTTTACCCGCTACGATGTCGGCTGCCCATTTCTTCATCATCTGTCCTGGCATCCTATTCGGATGACCCTGTATATCGAGTTAGCATCGCCTGTTTTTGTCTAGCTGAACGTATCTCTCACCTTTACGACAATAGGCTCACCGCGTCCCACTGCTGCAACACGCTCCTTCATGACCTCATAGAATTGACCGGAGAAGTATGAGGCGGCATCGCTGATATCCACCCCCTCATCCGTAACGATACCAATGTCTTCTTGGATTTTCAACATATCTTGGCGGAGGCCACAGAACAGCAAGATCCAGTCGTAGCGGTCTTCGTCTGTGGTTTCTCCTATGCAATATTTGTTAGTACGGCGACGGTACACGATGTATATGAACACGGCAAATTTTGATACCGTATTCGGCAAAGTACATGGCGTCAATGTCCTGCTGGGGCAAGAAGCTTGAAAAGTCGCTTCCAGGCTGCGGGTTCAGTGTTTGCATGGGTGGTTGCTCAGAGGCAACATTGTCACTGGTCTTGTCAGTGTTTGTCGCCATGTCGGAGGCGACACGGCTAGAGGTTCGTTGCGGCGAGATGTGTTCAAAAGGGCTTGTTGTTTTCTGTGCGCTCTTCTACTACGAATCTGGACGCACGGACCCCAGCGACTCTGATAGTGAAGAAGACTATTTGGTTTGTAGAAGTGGCGCACGGGCCACTTTCACTTTGATGGTGAAGGAGACTATCTGGCAGCAGACGGCTCGGCATGGATACACCAGCCATGGTGTCCGATCACTGGCTGACGGATTTGGTCGACGGACAGAACAGATGGACGGCAAATACGAGGGAATACACGCGTGATTGGCGACCTAAAAAAAGCTACGACCAAGGGGCAGCCAAACGATACCGTATTCGCCAGCGCATGTACATTTTGGCATGTACTTAGTGGCATACATTGTAGTAAGACACTGCCCATTTTGTCACTGATTTCGTCCACAACAAATTCGCAACAAGAACAAAGCAGATGATGGCCACGGCATGCATAATTACGTAGACAAGATGGCGCCTGAGACGAGCAGAAGCATGGCCATCCCAGGCCCCCGACGCGTGTCGCCGTTTTGCCAAAGCGCATGCAAGCCGCCCCCGCCCGCCACAGCACATGCCCAGGGGCTCCTGGTGGGGCTTAGCTCAGCGCATCCCTGACTACGACGGTTGGCGACACGCGCCTTTTTCAGATGCAACCACGGCCATTGCCATGGCCTGAAACTGTCAAACTGGTCGTTTGTTAAAATCTCTTGGTCTCCGCATCCTCGATTCGCATCTTCACTCACCCTCATGCCCCGCCGCACTCGCTAGCCATCATGTCGGCCTTCCGCAAACACATGCCGCGCACCACCCGCTTACTCGTCAGCGTCTTCTTCCTCTACATCTTCGTCTGGGTTAAGGGATGGCCGCGCATCTACGACGAGGAAGAGCTGCCTGCTGTCCAGCGCCCCCAGCAGCAGGGCGCCCCTGTCGGCCCTTACCAGGTTGAGCGCGACCAACTCGTCGTCTCCGTCACTACCACCGCCATCAACGTTCACTCCAAGGTCGCACCCCTCATCCTTAACACCGCCAACGAAGACCATGGCATGCTGCTGCTCTTCTCAGACCTTCAGTCCCAGGTTGGCGCCTGGCCTATCTTCGACGTCGTCTGGCGCCTTACCGCCGATGTCGTCTTGCACATTGACGAGTTGAAGAGATACCGCACCCAGCTTGACTTTGCGCGGAGGAGCATCCCCTTGCAAAACCTCGTAAAGGCGGACCCGGAGGAAGAGAGAAAGGATATGTTGATCCTGGACAAGTACAAGGTCCTACAGACAATGAATGCGGCCTGGGAATACCGACCCGGCCGCAGCTGGTACATTTTTGTCGACGATGAAACATACGTCAACAGGCCAAACTTGATCGAATGGCTCGGCCAGCACAATCCCGATGCAAAGCACTACTTTGCAAACCCACCCATACCCGCCGAGACTCTCGTTCCCGACCCATTCGCTCCCTCGGGCACCTCCTTCATCGTGTCGCGCAAGGCCATGGCGGAGCTGTTTGTAGACCGCAAAGACTACATCAAGAAATGGGCAAAGCACATCCCAGAGTATACATCAGCATATCATTTAGTCACAAGTGTGTTGCAGGAGGAGCTCAACATGACCGCCGTTCCCGTATGGCCCGGCATTACCGGCTACGATCCTAGCACTGCGCCTTTCCATCCTTCGCTATGGTGCGAGCAAGTCATGATCATGCACCATGTCACACCAAGCATGGGTGGAGATCTGGCTAAATTGGAGAGAGAACAGCCCGCCCACCAGCCTATGCGCTTTGCAGACCTATGGAGCCGCTTCTTCACCCCGGAAGACCTAAACTCTACACGAAACAACTGGGACAATCTGTCCTCCGAAGCGTCAAACGGACGCTGGAACATCTTATTTGAAAACAACGAAGGCGCCAAGGACCGTGCCAAGTCAGGCGAAGAGTCACCAGAAGCATGCCAAAAATCGTGCGAGGTTAGCACATATTGTGTACAGTGGTCGTATTCGTCGATTCCCCAAACCAATTGGAATGACAACCCCGAAACAAAATGTCATCTCAGCAGCAGCATACGCTTTGGAGCCTATGTCAAGCCCAAAGAGGTGCAAGGAACTGACGGAAAGCAGACATTGAGTTGGAAGAGTGGATGGAAAAAGGCAAGGTTTCATAGTTGGGCAAGACGACAGCGATGCAATCAACATCTCCAGTAGGCCCTTTGTAGTACTTTGTTTTGCAGCGTTTTAGCGTTTCGTATTCTTCTGCATAATTTTTCCATTTTCTTTTCTTCCATCTTGTTTTGACTAGGCAGATCCCCTGCTCCTGAATTGATAGAGCGAGGTTATAGAAAGAGTAGATACCTGGGTAAACTCGCATTGGCTAGCCAACGTCCAGGAATTCGAGTACATGGAGGTCAATAATAGATTCAGCCGTCCCTCCCCCAAATGCTTAGTATAACGCGTGAGCACGTGTCTTCGCTTACTTAGACCCCAGCCATCCCCAGCCGTCCTCACAGCACGTACCAGCCTTGCAACCTGTCCTTCTCCCGTTTCTTGCTCAAGGCTCGATTGTATGCAGTCTAATCGGCCCGCTGCCTCTGCCCTGGGACCCGGTATCCCGTGAATTACATGCGCTGTGGAGAGAGGGGCTGGAACGTGTACGTGGCTCAGACCATACCTACGCGCAGACCCGCTTCGCGGTCCGTCAACACCAACAACTTTGCGCTCATTGCTCCTATCACCAACATCGCTAAAATCACCATAAAAGCCGCTGAAAACAAATGAAAATGTCCATTTGATAACACTCAGCCATCTTTCCAAGGCCTATAATGTCACTCAACGACCTTCGGAAAGGCATAGCCTCTTATGGCGCCGGACCACAGCTGGATGCTCTGCCATCGGCAGATGGTATGACCTGGGTCCCGCAACCAGGCGCAAATCCTGCATTTTCTCTTTTAATTGGCAGCCTTGATGGGCAACAAATACTTGCCTACTTGACTCGATACGGAGAGAAGCCGCGAGAAGTGCGCTATTGTACCAGGCCTCCTCCTGATAGGCCCTCCAACAAGTCTACATCGTCAATGTCCACAGTTACCCAAGACGACGTCATGAAAGCATCTCTGCTTTCGCCATTTAAGTACCTTGCAGAAAATTCTAAGCCCATGAAGCGCAAGTTTAGCATGCTTATCCGGTGGTACTTTTTGATAAAGGGGTATATTGATGGCCTCGAGGGCGACCAAGGAGACTTTTGCAAAAGATTTAGCTCTGCAGTCAAGAGAATTGAGGAAGAGAAGCATGACGAGGAAGATGGTACTCAGAATCGCACGAGGCGAAACCGCGAAGCCATAGAAGAAAGCCCGGAGCCCGAAGACGCGGATAGTACTTACACCTTGCGCTCCAGCAGCCGTACTGGTAAGACGCACGTGACAAATGGCGACAAATCTGAGCCACAAAGCCCTTCAGTAAGATCGTCACGGGAGTTGAGGACCAGCAAGGGCAATCACGACCTCGAGCGTTTACTGGAGTACTTGAAAAACCACAACGCATTATATCTCCTAGACAACTTACCTGAAGTGTCGGAGATGCAATTTGTGGGCCAAACATCTATACCCGAAGCCCAGCCGATGAAGCTTTTTGTTGGACGCGAAGCGAAATCCGGCGATGATATATACGCCTACATGGTCAGTCTAGCGCGTGGCTTCCACGAAGTTCGATTCTACGTCCAAACAGCGCTCGACGAGGAGCCCATGAAAACCGAAACAGTCTCCAAACAGCGCCTCCTTCACCCATTCAGCAAGTGCTATCCAAAGCAACCCTGCGTCCTAGAACAGTCTGATAGAGCCAGACTGACTCTCATGGTAAAATTCTACTTCATCTCCGCAGGCATCGCAACCGACTGCGTCCTCAAAGAAACGAAAAAATACCCAGAACGCCTACGCGTCGCACTCGACTACATCGCCGACCGTATGGGTCCCGCCGCCGCCAAACCGCCCTCACACACCAAAGATGAAGACGATGGCGCTACTTCCACCTCAGCCCCCAACAACCCCCCAAAACACCGTCTCTCAAGCGAAAGCTCCTACATCGACGAAAGCGACATCCAGTCCACCCTCGCCCTCGAACCCCCCCGCCTCCCCCACCACACCCGCACCCCAAAATCTACCTCAATCTTCGCCCGTAAATCCGCCTACTCCACCGCCCCACGCTCCCAACTCCCCTCCCGCACAACCTCCCCCTCCACCTTCCCCCCCATCACCACCACCCTCGACCCCTCCACCTCCACTTTCCCGCCCCCCTCCGACATCATCACCACCACCACTACCACCCCTTCAACCCCATCCATGCACCCCCACCGCAGCACCCCAAAACGCTCAGCCGAAGACGCAGAATTCGAAGATCTCGCCCGCATCGTCATGAAAGAGCAGACTCTCACCCGTGAAATCAACGCCCTCCAGCATGAAATGGATGTCCTTGAGGAGAGAAAGAGTATCTGGATGGAGAAGTGGCAGGCCCAGTTTGAGACTGTCAATGAAAAGTTGGAGGCGGTCACGCGCGAGAGGGTTGGTGTGAGGATGCAGTTTAAGAAGCAGAGGTTGGGGGGTGGTGAGGAGTAAGGACTGGTGAAGTAATGTTTCTTTTGGGGGGAGGGAGTCGAAAAAGGGGAGTGTGGGAGCGGAGAAATGGTGCAGTTGTTATTGTTTTATTCTTGATTGATATTTCTTTTCGCGTTGGCTGGTATCAGTTTCGTATTTTTTTTGTCGACTATCCTTTGTACAGCTGTTTTCATCGTTTCACTTTTTCTTTGATCTTCATGATTTTTTTTTGTTGTAGTCGTAGTGTTGTATATCCTTGCATTTTGTCATTTCGTCGTCTACTATTTTTTATTTGTTCAACGAAGAAATCTAATTGACCTCTTTGTGTTTGAGCTCATAGGGGTGTGTGAATATAGTGGCGAATAATCACGGACAGAACATAGCAAAACAACGTAACGCGTTTTTCCATAGCATGAACACATTTTCATTCCCCTCTCCACAATACACCAGATGAGATGAGAAATCAACACATGGGTACAAGAGAAAAAGGGTATATAAACGTAACTACCAAAGACGATGCACTCGCGCCTAGTACACCGTTTGAAAATGAAAGAAAAACATCCGTTCCGCGTCATCTCAACCCACATTTCAAATCACGCTCATAAACAAGTACGGAACCTTCTCAGCGCCACCACATCTATGACTCAGCCTCAGCCTCAGCCATGATCTGCTCACCCTCATCCAACATCTCCACCACCTTCTTCAATCCACCCACCATATTATTCGCCTGGCCCACAAGCAGCAACTTCTCAGCGTTGGCTGGGAGACCCAAGTACGTTGGCGGCTCGCGCTCAGGCAGATCATTGACCCAGCCCATAAAGTCCTTCCAGCTAGTCGAGCTAGGCAGCTCAAGACCCTCACTGTGCTCCGTCTCCTTGACAATCTTGAAGTTGTCTTCAAACGCCGCGGGAGTCATGCACGAGTCGACAAGAGATGAGAGGATTTGCCAATCCTCCGTGTTGTCAATCTTGCCACCGTACATTTCCGTGATGAGATAGCGCAGCATCTCCCATGGGATCTTGGTTGGCGCAATGTTGGAGCGGCCTTGGGCAACAGTATCGATCCAGGTGTCGATGATGAAGCTGCAGCATTCGTACTGGATATGGTTAGCATACGCATAATAAAAGAATATTCAAGGATACTTACATCACTGTCGTTAAACTCCCAGAAGCCCTTCCATCCCAGTGTGGGTGCGTATCGCAGACGCTCCTGAATGACCGCATGCAAGAAAGACAATAGAAGATAGACACGGGCCTTCTCCACAGGTGGCTTGGTTGCCTTCTCCGCCAAAGATGACAAGGAGTCCTTCATATTGGCGCGCACTCCGGCAGGCTGCTCGTATGACAGGACACGCGAAGCACGGAGCAAGTTGACAGGAATCTTCGGACTAGATTCCATGGAAAGGAAGAGACGGAAGTCAGGGTTGGGCTTGAGTGCCTCAAGACGCTTCTCGAGCGATTGTAGCCACTGGGGTGTAAGATGAACGTTCTTGACAAGTACCCAGTTGCCAGTAGTAGCCGCGTTGGCAATGGCCTTGTCTGCTGCGGCGGCACCTTCGTTGGAACCCATGGCAATGTTGGAGCAGCTGACTTGCTCTCTTTCGACAAGGTTGTCGACCTTGTAACTGGCATCGAATCCAGGACTGGAGCTGAGAGCAACCGGGGTGACGGCGTTGACTTGCTTGACAATATCACCCAAATCACCACTTGCATCGAGAATACCCTTGCCAAAGACCTCAGTGACAAATCGCTCCACAGCAGGAACAAAGCGGTCAACACGGAACAGCTTGACAAGGATGAGAGCTCGCAGAAGCTGGTCGAACTTGGTAAGGTCTTCCGGCCAAGCCTGCGGTACGTGTCGTTCTCCCATCTCTTCGTTGAGGAATGCATCCCAGACGCTCTCGTCGATCTTGTCGAGGACATCCTTGAAAATCGGAATCTTGCTTGCACGCTCCATGGCTTCTGCCTTGCGGCCCATTTCGGTCGACACATCAATGCCCTTGAGGTCAGGGTCAAGAATCTGGTCAATGTGTGTCTTGTCCATCTTGTAGGGTGCTGCTTGTACAAGCAGCATGGCGAAAGTAACACGGTCCTTCTGGAGCAAGGACAGCGAGGTACGGCGGTAAGCGTCGACAAAGAGCTCAGTAACAATCTGCTCAATGCGGGCGGCATGTCCAGTGATGGAAGAGTTGCGAATCTTGCGCAACACCGTCTCGAAGATCTGTGTAAAGTACTGGAGCGAGAACTGGTAGAAGTGATTGAGGTGGTGAAGTTGCTCCAGTACAGCAAAGATTGCCGAGCAAGAACGAGCAACAACAGTGTACTCCTTTGTGATATTCTCGACCTCAGTCATAACGCCAGCGGTCTCGGAGACCTTCTCGGAAATCTCCTTGGCTTCCTTCTTGAGCGTCTCAAGAGTTTCAATGACGCGGTCGTCGTCGAGAATGTTACCTCGTGACTCATTAAGAGCCTGCAACAAGCGCTTCTCGAGTTGACGAAGGTGAACTGCAAATTCTCCCTGCATCTTGATGAGATTGGAGCGTCGCTCGTCGACATCAGGCCTCTCAGACTTGAGAACCTCATTGAGTGTCTGGGTTTGCAAGCTGCTCTGCGTGACTGTAAAGTTAACAAAGGTGGTACGACTGCAAATATCGGGAGCAAAGTTGGCGGAAGGATCGCGAGTAGACAAGTACAAGCGGAAAGACGGCGAAAAGTCAATCTCTTGCTTGCCAAGTTGGATGAGAACACGACCTCCAGTCTTCTGGTACTCCTTGTTGAGAACATGGTTGAGGATAGGGTCCAGATGTTCGGCATCTTGAATCAAGATCGGGTTACCAAAACGCAGAGAACTCTCGAGCTGCTTGGTGAATGAATCATCCAAGAAGCTGGTGACCGTGAGGCGACGTTCCTTGCATTCGTTCTGCAAGAACTCGGTAGTCCTACCCGACGGATCGATGATGAGTGGGTAACGGTTGAAACGCTGCAGGACAATAGCGTTCTCAGTGCAAAGGTCATCAACAGGCAGACCATTGTGTTGCCAATTGAGTCGATCATCAGCTGTGGACAGGTATTCCGTAAATGGATTTGTTGGCTTAAAGCTGATGCCAGACTGTTTGAGATGATCATACCAGTCCTCGGTAAGTGCCTTTCGGTATTGCTGGTCATAGTAACCAGCATATGCGATGAAGGCTGCGGCAACCAGAACGTCACCGACAATGGTGTCGATTTGAGAGTCGAACGACTTGCTGCTCTCCTCCCATCGAGTACGTTCAGAAGACAAGCTGTCAAGAAGTCGTACACTACGGTCAACCTTAAACTGGACAGTCGACATTTCTGTCTTGATGGCTTGTGTTTCGCTGATCAAGGCTGCGTACTCGGTCTTGTAACGTCCAATACTCTCCTCGAGGTTCTGGATAAGGATCTGGGTCTCCTTCGCACCCTCTTCTGTCTTCTGCAGTTCAACTTGCAAGTTGTCGACCTCAGCACGTAGGGGCCCAACACGGTCGAGGATATCGGAGTACGTGACTTGAGCAGATACCCATTGTACGAGGGGACCGCAAGCCTTGGAAGCGCGGTTGACCTTCTCGAACGTAAACTCCTCCTTGGACAGGTACTCGTTCTGCATCTTCCTGCGGTGTGCAGCAGTCATCTGCCTCTCGTTGTCGAATGTCACAATACTGGCGATAAAGTCGTCGCGCCTGACAATGGAAACAATGGTCTTCCAGCTGTCAGGCTTGTGGCCAAGAATTGTGCACACGGCTTCAAGCGCAAGCTTGACACCGGCGGGAGGGTTCTGCATAGATCGAACTTCAGTAAGATGCTGGCGCTTGATGTTCTGCACACTCTTCTGCGCTTCAATAACAGCGGGTTCGGCCGCCGCCAAATCAGTATTGACCACCTCTTGTCGCTTCTGAATCTCTTCCTTATCCTTGGCAAGTCTAGCTTGCATCTTGATCGATCCCGCCTTCTTCTGTTCTGCTTCGTTTTGGTCAGCAATCATACGCTGCAGCTTCTCGTTTGCTTCAGCATCCTTCTTGGTCAACTGTGTCTGCTTCTCTGCAAGGCTTGCTCTGAGTTCCTTGACCTTGTCAAATGTCTCGCGAAGTTTCTCTAGACCGACGTTAAGATGGCGTTGCTGCTCTTCCAGATCTTCGCGCTTCTCGTTGTACAATTTAACGTACTGAGCGACAAAATCCAGGAAGTGTCGTGGTGTGAGATACATCTTGCGGTTTTGCGTCTTCTGCAACTTCGCGTTCTTGCTTCGGAGCGAGTGATGTACAGCGACCATAGCGTTAACCACACTTTCCCTGTGAGATGGTGGTAGAGTAAGTCCGCGGTAGGCAACAGGAATGCTATCAGGTGCGATGTAGTTTGTGCGGTCCAAGTCGACAGACTGCGTGAGTTCGGAGCCGACCTGGTAAAGTGCTTGATCGGACCAGTCTCCGAACCAGTTGAGCACGCAACGGTTGAAAAGCGCAGGACTCGTTGCAGCCTTTGAAGACAGACCTCCTTCTGGAGGGTTCATAGTGAACACAACGTGGAGGTTCTTGACAATCTGCTCCGTGAACCACTTGTACAATTCGTCCTGAGAGTCGAGAATGATACCCTGGCGCTGGGCACCTTCCTTAATGGCGGTAAGCAAAGAGGCGTACTCATCACCCTCAAACAAACCAGGAACCTCGGCGTTGGCAAGAAGCGTGTTCATACGTTCGAGGAAACCAGAGTCAAGGACGTTAGCTTCATCCATGATGAAGCAAATCTTCTCGCCCTTGCAACCACAGCGCCTGAGCACAGTACGCAAGTCTTCATCGAAATCTTCGCCAGAGTACTTTCCGTGGACCTTAATCTGGTAGACACTCAAACCGTTCATCCAGGCGACGAAACGCGATAGAGTGGTCTTACCAGATCCACTAACACCGATAAGGATAAGATGACCCTGAGGTTGACGGAAAACACGGTCGATGCGAAGTACGTGCTCAAGCACATCGTTGAAAAGAATGAGAGGAACATCGACCTCTTCCT